TAATGTTATTATTGAGTATAAAATGTAAACATCTCAATTTAAAAACATTGATTATTATATTAATGTTTAATTATTATTATTTATTTGTATAAATTTCAATTAATATTAAGCAAAATTGAAATGGAACAATTAAATTTAAAAATTGATAAATTTGTTAATGAATAAACCGAAACTTCAGAAATTGTCAGTTTTTACTTTCTTCATAAACAATATTATATTATACATAATTTTCACATTTCTACCTTCATAATAATTAATACAAATTTATTTATAGAGAAATAAGAAAATAATATAAATCATTATGATCTTATTTCAATTACTGAAAAATATATATATATATGTAACGTTAAATTTATTGTTTTCCTTTTTAATATGAGTGCATATACAATATAATTAAAATTTTTATATAATAGTAATAAAGGTGTTATTAATATTGAAATAGTAATTAATATCAAATATATCAGTTATACAAGTACTGTCATTTTTATTGTTTGTGTTTATTATTATCAAAGTATGATCAATTAAATTAAAATTTGAAATATTTTTATTTTTAGTAATGTAATAATAAATAAAATATTAAATTACTATGTATTATTTAGTTTTGAAAATGTTGTAATTAATAAACGTATTTAATTAACACCATTTTAATATTGAATTAACATTAAAATATAAATAAAAATACAAAATTTTTAATTTTATTTTTATAAATAATTTATACTTTTTAGTTGTAACCATTTTTTTTATTTAAACGTTTACGAATCTTTTTTTTTTATATTATATTTTGTTTCTAATTAGTAATCTATAAAAATATTGAAATGTTAATAAATTTTTATATAGCCCAATAATGTAGAACATATTTCAATATTTTTAATCCAAAGAAATTAACTACAATATTAAAAATTCAATATTTAAAAATTTTTTATATATGTACATATATTTACATATTGATCAAGCAAATGTAATTATATTTAATAATTCTATAGTTGTTTTTATTTTGAATGTAATAATAAATTTTGTATTCTGTATTATTATTGTGATTTTATGATTTTTAATAAAAATGCTATGCTATAAAACTATTTTATATATTTATTCAGCTATTTGTACATGTATTGCAAGTCAGAATTTTAATTGAAATTTCTAAATACCTTTACAGTAGTACTACTTAATACTGTGTAATATTTTTATTAGAGATATAAGTAAATAAAATATTTTCATCAAACATACAAACACACACACACATGCATATATATATAGCTAATAATTTATAAATTTTAATAGTTCATAAGATTTTAGAATTTTATTTATTTTTAGTAGCTATGTAATGATCATAATATGAGGTAGTTTTATAGATTTCATTAAACCTTGATAAACAAAACCGAAGAAGAAACAAAAGAAGAAAATAACCCCTTGTTTTTTAATGAAAAAATTAAGAAATGCAGTTTCTTTATCTTTGCAAGTTCACATCTTTTTAGATCTATTTCGTATAATGCTACAGAAGCATAACAAAATTTCAATCATGCAAGTTAATAGTAACATTGGTAACTTTAATATGTGCATACAGACACACAAATATGATGTATAAAAATTAAAATATTGTATCTTTTGTAAATACATGATTGATATTCATGTTTGTTTTTACAGATGTTATGCTAATAAAAATGCAATATGATATGAAATAATAATTTATTAATAATTTATTATTATTAATGATAGCATATAAAGGTTTTATAATGATTATAAAAATAAAAAATTAAATTAAAAGTGTTTTTAGTAATACTAAACTGTATATATCTAAAGTAAATTTTCTTTTTCATAACAATGTTGTAATGATACAGAGTAATCTATTAAATAACTATCCTTTTTTTTTTTTAATTGATTCTATAATTTGATTAATCAACTTCCATATTTTGAAATTTACTATTATAATTGATATTTCATTAATTTATGTATTAATTAAAAAGTATTGATGTTTTAAACTGCATTAAATTATATATTTATTGAGGACTGCATCAAACTATATGAAATTGAGGATAGATTACAGTTATTCTTTATTTTCAGAAAAATAGATTGATTAAAAAATTAATTTAAGAAAGATAAAATATTTTATTAGATATAAAAATTATTTATATTTAATGATACTTTTAACAGTAATGATAGTCACACGATATTAAATGAAAATTTCTTTTTAGATACTAGTAGATTTGTTTATTTATTATCTTTAATTAATTAATATCTTATCAGTTTTAAAAAAAGAAAATAATTATTAAAAAACTTTTAAACATTTTTAAAATTAAATTAAGAAAAAATTTTTTATAATATATTTGTTGGTAATTGAACATTAAAAATTTTTTTTATTTCATTCTTATTAACATTTTAATGAAGTACAAAAGGTTTCAGAGAAAAGATATACAAGAAGTCAGTGGTAATTTTTGTCAATAAAAAAAAATTCATAATGTATAGAATACAAATTATAAGAATAATACTTGCAGAACATCTACAAAAAATTAAAGAGGTAAGGTAAAATTGATGTGCTTCCAATTAGCATTATAGATTGTAAATCTTAAAGATAGTTTTACTGGGATTACCTTATTTAAAACTAAATATGTTTTCCTCAAGTTTACATTTATAAAGTAAATTTAAAATAATTAAAACTCTATTCTACCGATAGTTTGAAATTTAGTGTATCTATTTATAAAACAAAAGCAATATTTTACCTTAGATCATTTGTTATAATGAATATTTAACAATGAAGTTTTATATATAAAACTTCCATTTTTATAAAAGCAAATTGCATTTTTATTTTTGGATACCCTATTTTTTGTTTTAAGTTAGCTTCTTTTATACTATCAGTTGGTACTTTAAATAACTAAATACTAGTTAGCACTTTAAATGTTTTATATAACTTATAATTACTATAGATATCTCAATCAAATAAATATCAATATTTTCATTTATAATTTTGATTAATATGATATAAATATAATACAAATTTTTCAACTTCTTAAAGCTTACGTATTATACATTGAAATTAAAATAATTGATATTTTTATTTGAAATCACATATAAATTAGAATGAATTGAATATTATTGATATTTAAATATTTTAGATAATTAATATTAAGTATTTTATTTTTTTCCATCAAATTAATTGATGATCTGAAAATTTAATCAGTATAAAAAATCAGGTTCTTCAAAATTATCTACCATTGCTACTAGTAGCGATAATGGAAATAGTTTTATTGAAATGAAAAATAATAAAATTAAAAATTATTAGTAAATTATTGAGATTTTCTTCATGTGTTTATTTTTTAATGTAAGGTTAATTTTCAATGTAATCTAATATGTAACAAATAATAATTAACAAGTATATTGTAAATTTTAATTGTAAACGAATAAATTTATTAAGAAAATATTCAAATTAAATTTTTTTCACTTAATCACAAATACTTTACGTTTTTCATATAAAAACCGATGTGTAAATATAGAAGTAAATATATATTTAAAATAATAGAGGAATTATTTTGTAATGTTACAAATTTTAGTGATTGAACTTTTTCATAAATTATGTTTATTTTGAAATATTAAATATCATACATTGTTTATATTATTGGTCTATATCCCATTGATTAATATTCATCATTAATTATTTCATATTTTTGTATTCAATTTTTTTATATAAATTGACTAAATAATATTTTTTATATAAAACAACTAAATCAGTATAAGATAAGAAACATTATTGTATAAAGTATTGATATTTTTCAGGTATAAAAAAGGTTCTAAAGTATTAACAAAAACAAGTTCTTTGTACAGTATTAATATAACTTCAATGGATGAAGAACAAAGCAACGAACAAGTAGTAGAAAATAAAAAAACTTTTAATTTAAACGAAGTGGATATTCATAAAGCTGATATAATTGAGGTACACATAAATCAAGAATATTCATTATTAAAGGCACAGATTCTTTTCAAATTACATTTATTTTGTAAGATTTAATTATATAACCTAAATAAGTTGAAGTCAATAATTTAAAATTATGTATCTTGGATTGCAGTCTTGGCGGTTTTAGAAAATTGTACTATAGTATTAATATTAGTTAAAAGATAATTCATTTTAAGTAGCTATATTAGATTTATAATTAAATTCTATTTTTGTTAATAACAATTTTTTAGATGTAATTAAATTGCATAATAAATTAAGTTCAGATTCAAATATATTAAAAAATAATAAAAAACAGTGTGGTAACAATAAATCTATTATTTTTAAAGAAGCTTTTTAATGAATATTTTAATGTATGATTATTTATTAATGAATCAAATCACATTAATATAGATTTTCTTTAAATTTTAAACGAATTCTGTAATATTAACACTTTAGTTAAAAATCAAATTTTATTTTAAAAATATGACCGTCATGAAATTGTGAAAAGTGAGATACATGTAAAATGAAATTATTTGAATTTTGTCTTTGCCTAAAAAAAATTACATCACAAAACGCAATAAAATTAGCATTAATTTCAATGGTAGATAATTTAAGGGTAAGTGGATATAAACTCGTAGAAAATTATATCCAGGGTTGAAAAAGAATAGGTCTAAGAAATAGGTATTTAAAATTTTATGGCACAAACTAATGCTTATTACAAAAGTTTGAATGGTATTACAGAAAAATCCATTCGTATATGCTGAATTATATACAGCAGGAAATTATGCCAACTTTAAAGTAAAAAATTTTAATATAAAATACTATCTGAAAATAGAAATAAAAACTAACCCATTATAATTATTCTTTTATTTTATAAAGAAATCATCTATTTGTCATGTATATCTCACATTTTATTTATTGTTCACTTTGATAGTATTATATTATAATATTGTTGAAAATTCTAACCATGTACTGTTCCTTACAATTTTCATTTAAGATGAAATAAATATATCATGTTTTATCGACAGATTAAGTTTTACCAAATATTATCATTATTATGAAAAAGCAACTCAGTAACAATTAAATTCCTCTTAAATATTTGTAACACTTTGTTATAAAGGAGAGTTGCTTACAGTTAAATTTTCAATATTTAGATTTCATAGAAATGTATTATATTTCTATAAATTGTATCAACATTATCGATACAGAGATTTGATGCATTATGAGGAGCATGGGTACCTTTCATCCTGGGTTCACGGTAAGGACAAAATCCCCAAGTACCTTTTTAAGTTTAAATATTATGTTAAACAATTATATTATAATATTAATAGCAGTATATTAAATGACTATTTTATTAATTATATAAGATTTAATAAATCTATAGAGTATTGAATTTTATTAACGTAAAATAAATATTTACTATAATATTAAAAGAAAAATCTATAAAATGTATTATTTATGGTCATAATTGATCATTTATTAAAAAATTGAAATAAATATATAATGCACAGTTTTCTTTTAATCCTTTTTATTGATTAATATTTTTATATTTACTTGCAACGAATTTTTTTTTTGTTTGTCCATAATAGATCTTTTAATTATTATTTTGAATAAAAAGACAAGGATGCCGTTTAGGTTAAAATAATGGAAATTCGAATTAATTTTCCGAGTATAGATAAGTATTAATGAATAGTGTTTTTACATTAAATATCTATACATAAAAGGTACGCAATAAATATAATACCGAATAATATTTTTAATGTACGAAACACTTATAACTGAACAAAGTACATGTCTAAAAAATTCAAACATACTTTATATGAATATTCAAAATTGTTAACCTAAATCTGAAACACATTATATATTGTTTGGAAGAAAATTCTTTATATTGATCGAGCTTGATTTAAATAATTTTATACCATAATGAATTGTTCGTTTATATTCTGAAAAATGTTGGTTAAGAATTATGAAGTAAAAAATTAATTTTTTTAGATTTTATTAGCTTTTAGTAACTAAAAATATTTTTAAAAATTAAATGATATATCAATTTATATTATTATTTATTAATGTGTTTCCGCATTTAAAAATTCAGATTCATTTGTTATTTCCTTAGTAAATAATTTTTTTTTTTAAATTAAATAAAAAAAGCAAACAATTATATAACTCAAAAAGGGAACAGTTAAGGAAATAAAAAAATTTAATTAATTATTCAAAATTATACTAGAGAACATATTTCTTATCGAAACTTCGGTTAGAATAAAGTTAAGTAAAATATGATGAAAAGCTTAATTTGTGTTTGTATTTAGTATTTTGATATTGTGTATTGTATATAATAATACGAATGAGTTACGATGATTTCTACGTGAGGTCACTTAAAATGTTTAGACTTCTACTTAAACATTATAAAATCTTCGAAAAATTACTTTTTTAAACTTATTCATAGATACCTGATATCAAAGCATTTTTACGACTTCTATTAAAAACGATACTTATAACATTAATGTAATTTTTAAGAATGAGTACATACGCATGCTTATAAAAAAACCTAAATAAGGTATAACGTATATATCATTACGTTGTGTTTAAATCCAAATTTCGAAAATATTCATGAACATTGCCAGTATGTAGATAAATGGACAAGTGTGACATCAAAAATATCAAAAAATATGCGTTAACCTAGAAACCTTACATGAAAGATCTGCAGTATCGTTGCTGACTATCCTAATATATCTAAATTTAAAAATAAATTTAGTAAGCTACAAAAAATTCTTCGATACTCTAAATTAACACATAGCACATGTAACACAATTCCATTTCTTAATGATTTATGTACGACTTTTATTGACTAATACTATAATTAATATTAAATAAATTTAATATTTATATTTGGGAAAAGCTACGGAAGTATTCGTAAAATTATAAATAATTAATCACATAAATTAAAATTGGTAGATAAATATTTTGCAGAAATTAAATTTTCGACAAACCATTTGTATAGCGATCGTTATTATAAACAAACACAACATCTTCCCTTTGTAACTTTGATATCTATCTAAAAAAAAAAGAATCAATAGAAAACAAACCGGTAAAGTCACATTTTTATAAACGTAATGACAAAGAATAAAAATATATATGGATGACAAATAAACTATTTATTACTCCATAACGAGATTTTAATGCATACATCTATAACAAAAATATTTTTTAGTGAACTAATTAGTATTTTTCTATGAATAGGCCTGCACATTTGCACAAATCTATTAAAGAATATAATTGATAATTATCATTTGGAGGTTAAAGAATTTTGGTTGTCACAAATATTTCAATAATTAAATGCTTCTGAAAGATTAGAAACAACTCATATTTATTTAAAGTTTTAATAACACACTACTCATATTATTTTTTAGTATTTTATCATAGTTATATGACTGATACGTTAAATTGTAATTACATTAATTAATAATTTACCGAAATACGAAAAATGACTACTGTTGTTTGACATTGCGAAAACATTTTTAAGTCGTTTAAACACTTTGCGTACCTGAAAGGATTAACTAGTCTGTTGACTCCTGAATATACCTACTAATAAAACATCTGGCATTGATATCATAAAACTTTTTTGAAAAACAAGTCAAATCATCTGGAAAACCCAGATGTCAGAGTTTTCCCGATTCGGTCGCGTCACTTAACATTAAGACCTTTTCAGCACGTATTGTCCCTCCCCCTTTTATTCGACCATGCCTTGCGGCTGCCAGAGCTGCCGATAGTAATAGAATCAGGAGCTCTTCTTCGCTCGAGAGCAACGAAAAGAATGAGTTTCTTGACTGAAGAATACGCCACGAGAGGCACTGCTCTCGCCCATGAATCGGTAAACTTTCCGATTGGATACACGGAAAACGGAAGGAGTCCCATGTGGACACCAGGGTCAGTGAACTATTGAAGAAGGATAAACACAATATTCTCACTCATATAGAACTCGCCAAGAAATGTCCCCTCAGGTGAATCCGAAGCCATATCTTCGTTTGTAATCTCAACTCACTGTGTCATAACCGATCGACCATCCAAGGTGTCTTCAGGAGCCAGTTCACCGAACATACGTCAGGGCCAAAGCTGTTTCAAAGGTAAACGTAACATTATCCTAACTAATGTCAATACCTGTACCCAAAGGAAGAACTCTCGTGCCCCACGCGCACGAAGCCTATCAACGCACCATTCAGCACACACCTTGCCGATCTAACTAAAACCCTCTCGTGCTCAAGGAGAAAGAAAAAGAAGAGTCAATGAGCTGAGTCTGAAGTGAAGTTTCATTATTAGTATTCTCAATTAACGGAGTTTCGCGCCACCAATCCCACACGGTCTCTCCAGTCGCCAGCTTGTGCCCAAGGAGATTTTCGCTCATGCTCATCATGCATGAAGCCTACTTCGCATCATTTAGTGTATTTTCCGTGTGGATCCTTTTTCTATTTCAAGGCTCGTGTCCCCGCGTACGACTCACTTATTTAGAGGAATTTGCAACACGCGACAGGGCGCACTACTCACAGTTCCAGAAATTTTCCCGTTGATAAACTTCGCTAGTGGTGCTTCACCATCAGTCTCTCCAGTTGGTACCGGTATCTCCAGTTGCCAGACTCCACAGCATACTTGAAAGTTCAAGGCCAATTCATGTTAAAAGCTACAATTTCCTATTATTTCCACAGCCTCTGCCTAAGGAGGAGATCTTCACTCTATTTCAAAGCTCGTACCCACGTGTACGACTCACTTGCTTTTAGATATTCCGCGCATGCGCCTTCCGCATGACGCTTAGTTCACGCCATTCAGTATAACACTGCATCATTCCTAAATCTATTTCAAGGCTTGTGTCAGGAACACGACTCACGGTTAAGGAACTGCGGTGTGTGCTTAAAAGCACGACGCAGTCACAGTTTCCCTACGTGGCACTACTCGAAGAAGTGGTGAGAGCTTTAAAACCTCTCCCCTTTCTCAGGGTAATCTACCATCAAGGGCACCACGTCACGAGGATCAACCTCGTTACAACCTCCTACCTCGAACCGAAGTACAAATTAACACCACATTCCAATCGCCAAAGAGTAACCAAGGTTCATCTATAACTTTACCAACAATAATAATCCCTGTATTTGGAAAATAGACGGTATAAACAGCAATAAGAAGCATATGTGTTAACTATTGAATCAATGCATTAACCCTTCCACTTGCCCACGCATATTTCCACATAACATCTAGCGGTCACTTAGTTAATTCTAAACGACGTTACTCTATGAACTAATTATAATCTAGAAATATAGAAACTATATAATGTTTAGTGCAATTCATTCCGAGATTTGTTTTGAATTTATAGCAATACTTAAATAAGATTTAAATTTTCTAACTATATAATGAAACTTTCTAATGTATTTTAAAGTTTATAGTAATTCAAACAGATATTCTTTTATCACCATTCTATATAAGTAAATTCAATGTAATAAATTTACCTATCGCAAAAACTATACAAACCACATTGTACACAACTTATATAAAAAATGATGAAAAGTACTTTAATGTACATAAAGTTGGAGTTCAATATTCAACCTTTTTATATAACTGCGTTATTTGAAATAATATGAAAATAATAAAATATATTTAAATATAATTAAATATATATTTAGAGTATTTTACTCTATATACGTAGGTCAAATATACTATATATTTAGTAATTTAGTACCTTTGACTTTTTTTTACATATTTATATATTAATTTTATTATTAATACATTTTCTATCTTAACAGGTTGATAATTCTCGAACAGTATTAATGAAAATAGCTACTTTATATGCTGAACGTTTAATGAATGATATTTGTTTAGTAGTTAATAATATAGAATATCCGGCACATAGGTTAATTTTGTGTGCATCTAGTGATGTATTTGAGGTAATGTTGATGAGTCCTCAGTGGAGTGAATCTCAAGAAAGTAGAGTCACACTTCAAGAAACTCCTCAATGTGCATTAATTTTCAGTGAATTTTTACGATATTTTTATACGGGGCATCTTCGTATTAGTCACGGGGTAGTTTTACCAATACTTTCACTTGCTGATAAATATAATGTTAAGGATCTTAGCTTATTATGTTTAGATTATATGCGTAATCACATTCCAATAGCAGCTATACAAGGTACACTTGTTTCTTGGTTACAATATACTTTAAATTGTGGTCACCATGAAATAACAGATGCATGTCATAATTTTGTTAAATGGAACATCGAACTTGTAGCAGGTACAGCTGACTTCGCTAATTTTGAACTTGATGTACTTGTATCTTTACTACGTCAAAGTAATCTTGTAATACAAGATGAAATGACATTATATAAATGTCTAGAAACTTGGTTAAATCATCAAAGTAATCGTTTAAAGACGAGATTATCTACATCAGAGTTTGAAATGGCATTAAAGCAAATAGTTGCAACTGTTATGTTGCCAGTAAGATTTCCTATGATGTCACCTAGACAATTAGCTGATCTATTACTTTCACCTTTGACACAAAAATATAAAGAATTTTTTGTTGAAAGAATGGCTATAGGAATGTCATTTCATTCTGGTCAAAATGATAGAGTACGTGAAATCATAAAATCTGAAGAAGATGGTATACTTTTATTTGAACCAAGACTTTATACAGTAGATACTTGTAGCTCACTTTTAACAGTTGAAAATTTTCATAATTTACTATCATATCATTCAAGAACTTTAGTTTTCTCAAGTCATTCGCATTTAGCTGACTGTGCAGGAGATAAATCTTGTGAATGGGTTGTTGATCTTTATCCAAAAGGAGTATGGTTTAAAAAATATTTTTTGATTGTTTGGCAAGGTACAGTTGAAATGCCAGAACATGTTATTCGATCTGTAAGACTGTCATTAACGTGTAAAGAACCACCGGTTGATAGTGACTCTGATTTACGTGTAAAAATAGGAGTTCTTATATACGGACTTCAAGATGGCGTTGAACACATAGCCAGAGTTAAAGAAGTTATTTATAGATTTAATAAAAATGAACGAGTGCTTCATTTAGACGATGTATTGCCTTTTGAAGAATTAAATCCTCAACAAGATTCTATGTGTTCAGAAATACCAATTTCAAAATACTTAGTAGGGCCTAATAAAGATATATTAAAACTTCATATCGTTATTTCACCTATAAATCCATATCACTAAATAATGTATATGTATGGATGTTACAATGAGTTAAATCTGTTCTATATTTGAAGCTATATTTTGTATTCAGATTACAAGTGTTAGTATAATCAATTAATTGTTTATATTTAAAATAATTTGTGAAATTATTGAAATAAAACTAACATTAGAAGAAATAATGTATTGGGTATATTTATTATTATTTTTAAAAGATTGAGCCATTTTTATTAAAATATTAATTTTACAATCTTTTTAAAAATATAATTAACACAATGAATTCGTAAAAATATACATTATATTACACTTTTTTATATATAACGAACTATTTTTACATATACTTGACGATTAATGTAGAAATAATTACTTATTAATTCTTTTTATAAAATAAAAGAAAAATAATGTACAAAATTTATTTAAAAACATCATATTTAAAATATTTTTTATTTAATTTTGATATTTAAAATTTTTATGAATAATTGGAATTTGAAATCACACTTGTAGATTGAATAAACAATGAGAACTCAAAGTTATCTGTTTCCTCTTTCTAATTTCTTAATTTTCCTATAAAGTTTTTATGCCATTCATGATCATGCTTTTAAGTCTTTTTAGAAGTATTTTTATTATTCATTTCATGTCGATCACGATTTTAGACTCCATGAATTTCATAATTAAACAAATTTTATTTTCAATGTCATATCGAAAGGAATGAACATTGTTTCTCCTATTCTGAATTCAATATACATATAAAAAAGGATTATTCATTTTATTTTCTAATACAATTTTCATAAGTTAAAATTAATTTTGGAATACATAATCTCAAGTTGTATAATCAATGAATTAAAATATAGTCTAATTTATAAGCGCTAGTTTAAATAATACATATTTTTTATTTATTGTATTCTGTATTCAACAAATCATTATAAAAATTAAAATCTATTTTTATTGAATTAGCACGTATTTTTATTTTAATTTATTTAGTTTTATAATTTCTTTCATACTATGGATCTCATCATTTGTAGATGATACATAATGAAACAAATTTGTCCTATTCAAGATATCTAATAAAATTCTTGTTTAATTTTAATATACAATATTATAAATTTTTAATTATAGTTGTTAAATTATAAAAGAAAATAGAAAAGATGAACTTGTTGGTTATTCATATTTTAAAACATTAATTAATAAATACAAAAAATTTTTGTGTTATGTAGAGTTATAAAAGTTGTAATTATAAATTCCGAATCATCAATATCAATTACTAATTAATTTGTATTTGAATTAAATGTTCAATTATATTTATTTTTACTATATTCAAATCTGACTAATGATCTTTTCATATTTATATCTTTATAAACTCATTGATTATGTTTGTAAGATAATGAGATTTCTATTACTATTAAATTAAGATAGAACAAGCACCGAATTTGATATTTGTTAATTTTTTTAATCATACATACTTGATTATCTCTACAGTTAGTTAATTCTGCACAATGCTTGATTAATAGAAGGATAATAAAATAAGTCGATATACAATAAATATTTCTTATATTTTAAGTGAATTATCGTAAATTCTAGTAAGCCTTTATTGATTATATTGCAAAACTTTACTTATTGTAAGACTCATGGCTAATTTAAAAATGAAATTTAAGGGAACTTAATCAAAACTGTAAACATTGTAAAAAGATAATTTATTATAATAAAATAAACTTTTCTTAATAATTCATGTTATTACAATGTAGGATTTAGAATATCTAATAATTTTTTCAAGTTAAACAAAGCTAAGTAAAATCATTAAATGGACAGTATGTAATAAATAATTAAGAAGAAAGATGAAAAAAGTATTCATTAATTAAGATGTAAATTAAAATTATATATGCATGGGATTAGTTGAATTCTATAATGATACTTTATATTTCAATTATTATATACATAATGTTAATTATGTATCAAGAAATACTCCAATTTTAAATATTTAGCTTTTATTACAATAATATTACTATTTTATAACGATATCGTATAGTTTTTAATTCAATTTTTTTTGTTTTCAATTAAAGTAAATTATCTTTAATCATTTATTATTTATGTTTTATCTATTTTCATTTTGAGAGAAAATATCTTTTATTGATGATAATATAAATCATCGGCGGTTATATGGAAATCAGTAAATAAAATTTCAATATATAATTCTGTAATTTATAAGGTTGCTATCTTATTTTTTAATCGGCATTACTAATTTTTGTGAAGACATAAAAATTACTATGTTCTTCAATTTTCAATAATTAATTCATATCAAATCCGCTTGTTAGTATAATTTTGTGTGTATTTGTCAGTTATTATTATTATGAACCGATTGCAGTGAATTTGCTTTTTTTGTTCCATATTATATATACTATTATAATTTATATACATATCTATTATATATATTTTGATATATCAATTAGTACGTCAATAATGTTTTTAAATATCTGTTCGAGTGCTTAAATCTACGAATACTATTATTCTCATATTTTTAATTGTAATTTTGATAAATAATCATTCAGCAATAATAGAATACATTTATTTACCTCTTTAATTACAATAACAAAAAATTATTAAAGCTTATATGTACAATATGTTTTTGGCCATCTATGTATTCACAATTCAAAATATTTTGATTTCTTCTGTACAACAATAGTTGTTAATTAGTTAAATTTATAATCATGTGTTTCTTAGATTGAACTATAAACCTAAAATTTAAAAGTTATCCTATTGATCTTAATAAATATCCTTTAATGTTTAAACATTTAAACATTACGTTTTGTATTCCTATACAGAAATAATTAACTTTAATTTATTCAATTTTTTATTACAAATTTTTTATTATTATTTCTTTATTTGAGTTTTATATATTGTTACGTGCTCGAAATAATACAATCTCTTGTAATTTCTAAAAGTATTAATTTCAACGGAAAATAACGATATACGAATATTAAGTAATCAACTTTAACGCATTTAAATTAAATTAATTTAATGAATTTCAATTGATGATAACAAGTTAAAATAAAATTTGCATTATACTAGGCCAATTGATTAATTCGATTTTTAAAAACTTTCTGTCTTTTCAATTTCATCTCAGTGTTAGTGGATTCGTATTGTGTACTTTAACTTCTTGTAAATATTAAATACTTTCCCATTTTATAAATCTGATCTACACTCAATTTTAATCTTTTTAATTCAACTATAACATATTGAAATTTGTATATTCTTTTAATTGTTAAACGATGTACACTTTTTAGTCTCATACATGCATTACCGATAATTCATTAACAAAATGAATGTACTTCATAACATTAATTAATAAATAAATGAGAAATAATATATATGAAAATCTGAATAATGATATTCATTATTTTAATCTTCGAATAGGTATATCAGTTTATATGTTATACGTAATGTTTAATTTTTATAAACAATTTCTTTACATAATTCTTTTTCATGTTTGTTAAAGAAAAAATTGTATTGTTACATTTCTGTGGAAATATAGTCTTAAAATTATAAGTAATTCGATAATTACAAGGTTATATTAAACAGTAGTTTTTTATTTACTTTTATTTAAATATAAATACAAATAAAGATGAAAGAGTTTTACCAATGAAAATGAAGTTTTATAAGAAATAACTTCTACGGAATTCAATTAGAGTATACCTTGGATCTTGTATTTTCAAATCGCATGATACTGCTCAGACCTTTAGTGATTCTGAACTAAGTTTATTGCACCACTTATATTTTTTTAATAAAAAAAAGAATATAGTTATATTTTAGTGTACATTTTATTTGAAAAATTTGTAAAATAAATATTAAAAAAATTTTAACTTTTTCAAAATTATTATAAACTAAATATTTTAAATCAACAAAATATAAAAAGTATTAATCACTTTAGTAGAAAATATATAAATATTCGAATATTTATTTTTGTTTTTAATATTTATTAAAATGTTTTAATTTATTTATCAATTAATGTAAATTAGAAAAATGTCAGAAGTATATAATTTATTTAAATGTTTATTTAGTAATTTTCAGTTCAATTGAGTGAAATAAATTAAAAAGAATATTTGTGGGTTTAATTGTTATTAACGAATTTTAAAAAAATATTTATTATAATTAAGTTCGTATTATATTGTCAAATTAATTCAAATTTAATTTATTGTTATTGATCATGCAAAAAATATTATTCTTAATATTGATTAAATATAATAAAAGAAGTTGAATTTAAAATAAATAATAATTACTATACAATTCCAACAATTGTTTTATATGTATACATACAGACTTTATAAAATGTTAACGAATGAATCTTTTTATATTATATAAGTTAAAAACATATTAGATACATTTTTTGTAATACTATTGTTTAAATAATTTTTAAAAACTTATAAAATAAAGTATGAGTATCATAAATATTTTTTATTATAATTTTAAAAAGTTTAAATTTCATTATCTAAAATATTATTGGTTAATTTAAGTACTGCTAAATAATGGTTTATTGTGTCAGTAATAAACTATTATTAATATATTTTTTAGATAATGTATTACAGCTCATACAATTATAAATGTATAGCATTGCAATCATAATATGAATTAAATAACTGTATTATAATATTAATTGAAATTATTTTCCTTATTTTTGCAATATTTATTTATTCAATAGTAATATTCATAGTTGGTCAAAAGTACTTGTCAATATGTAGGTATATGTTTAATTAAATTTATTTAAAAAATTATTTTTATTTTCAATAAGTAATTAGTTAAACAATTTAAAGTTTTTAAATAAGTATATAAATTATGATTCCATGTATTAGATATGGAATAAAAATTTCTGTAAGTCTATAAATATTCGAATATCAAATAAGTGTTAGGTCATTTTTAATTTATCAAAATTAATTTATTTAATTTCTCTATATAATTTTTATTTTTTAATAACATACAATTAGAATTTTAAATGTATATACATTTATATGTATTTTTATCTAGCTTATCGCATATGATTATACAAAATTCAATCATTAGATAACTTGTAATTTTATACAGTCGAATGATTTAAATTAAACTTAATGCATAAGATTTTCATATATGCAAACAATGTTTGTGTCCAACTTATTGTAGTTATTTTTAATTTTAATTTCATTTAAACAAAGAAAAATTTTTTAGAAATTGCTATTATAACCCATATATTTCAAGTTTCACCATGTCAGATGAAGATGATAAGCCACCAGCACCTCCTGTAAGATTAACATCGAATAGGTAACTTTAAAAAAATTGTTTTAATTATATTGAAAATAATATATATTATAATGTAATACCATTTTTTATCATTCACAGAATATTTGATTGTTTATTTAAAAATTTTATTCTTACAAAAATTAAGATTAAATTTGTTATTTTATAATTACACAGTAATTTAATTAGTAATAAGATAGTCCTCTGTGAGAACATTTATTATCTATAAATACTTACCGTTACACTTTTTAAATAATTTTAATTTTAATAGAATTTGTTACAAAAGTTTTCATTTCTATATAATAAATTCATTAATTTATTTTATATAAAGTAATTGTAGTATAATTTAAATGATATACATTATTTTTAATAATAATATTTATAATTAAGTGCTATTATTTAATAAAGAACAATGATTATTTCAACAACTTTCTAGACAATAAATACATTTAAAGTACATGTAACATTTTTATGACAATCAAATTTTGAGTGTTATATTTTTAATTTTTTTTAGAATTTCACTATTATTTTAATATTTTTCTTAGTAAAAGATCTAAGTAATGGAAAATTAAAAATATATAACTTTTAATCAAAATTCTGAATTAAACATTTAAATTAAAATTATCACAATTAAAACTGTGATAGGATTTTTTATTGATTAATTTTTTACAAAGTATCAAATATATTTGATAAGACATCCACATTTTGTACCTTATGTGTAACTAATAGAATATTCATAATAAAACTTTTTTTTTATTATATTTATGAAGTATTAAATCTAATTGACTCACAACTTCTTTAAAATAAGAATGTTATACAATTATGGGTAAATAAATATTTTGGGAATTGATCAATTTTTAATTCCATTGGTGTATCTCCCAACTATTCTTTTGTTGATAGATGTCCTTTGCATTCTCATTCTTATGTGTTGTTGCTAATATAAGTATGTATTTAAAAATAAAAATAATGTAAATCCTATTTTTTCTTTTTTATTTGAGTTAGAATAATCTATATTTGGGAAAATACAAATTAAGAAATAATATTAAAGAAATTAAGAAATAATTTTGCACCTTCATTGTTTTCTTTGTTTTATTTTTTTTAATTCATAATTTAAATTTCAATTACTTTAATATTATATTAATTATTTATATATCTAAATATCATATTACCTCATAAAATTATTGTTTAGTACATATTTGTATTTTATACCAAGAATGAAAAATATTGAAACAATCTTTTATTTTTTCCAAATTTTACTGTATTTTTTCTTTTAAGTATGTGTTTATACTTTTAATAATAAATTGCTTTATAAAAAGTGTATTTAAGAAAAAACTAGAGTAAATTATTATAAATAAAGCATTCTGAATAATAAGCTCCCACCCACAGAGAAAAAGATAGAATAACTCGTAAATATTTATTGTTTTTATTATTTTATCAAACAATATTTTATATTTTATACTATTAAACTGATGCAAATGAATGTTTTAAATCACATTCTTTTCAATTAGTTACAAGGTGTTGTAATAAATTAATGTTATGTACCCCAAAATTTAAGTAATAAATGGTTATGTAAAATTAAGTTTTAAATGTGATATTAAATATGATTTCTGTTATTGTATACAATATAATCTAAGAGGTAAGAAAATTACTTTAAAAATCAAAACATGTTTATTAAGAGAAAAGCTAAATAGATGTTACATTTATGTTCTTATTATGAATGAAAATTACATAATTCTTTGAAATTCTAGATTTCGATAAAAAAAGATTGGTTATGTATAATAAATATATTTAGATACATGTTTTTAAAGTTTTATTATAAATCACATTACAGGAAGAAATAAAACATAATTGACTGCAATTTTTTATTATCTATATTTTTCATGAAGCAGTAGTTTAATTATAGTTTTTGTAAGTTACTCCTTTCCAGATTATATTTCACAATAAAAAATGAAGTCAAATCACCACGTCGCTAACGAAAAAAACTCGAAAAATAGTATTATAATTTCTGAATACAGTGATTTTTTTAAGATACATATCCAAAGGGAATTATACATAATTTGTAACTTATATATAACAGGTTAATGTTCTTATTTTATTTTTTTATTTTATTTTATTTTATTTTTTATTATATTTATTATATTATTTTATTTTATTATTATTATAATTAACAACCTAATGCTCGAATGTGATAAAAAGTTTTTTCAGACTGTATTTATAACATGTTTAAATACATTGAGAAATAATAAATGTAGCTTAAGCTATACTTTAAAAAAAATATTTTTGTTTATTGATTGATTTATATCTGTTCGTAATTGAAGCATTTTTTCGATGCCTTGGGTTCTCGGAAATTTTATAAGCCTTCTAATTCTCAAATTTTGTAAACATTTAACACGCAGAATTCTCGACTAACTCATAGCTTAGATTCTCGAACGTTCTGCAAGGCTGCTTAGCCTTTGCATAGCAACGTCGATTGAATTCTCGAATCATCCAAGGATTCGCTTTCGCAGAATTTTCGAATACCCCAAAGCTTAGATTCTCTAACGTTCTGCAAGCCCGCTGTCGGCATAGCAGCATCTAAGCATTGTTGCCAGCTAGTTTTAACTGCCACGCTGATACTTAAGGAAGCGCGTATCAAGATTCCTAGTAGTTATCACTCAGCTGTCACTCAGTAAACAGCGCCAGTTGTTCCTCCGAATCAGTCACTGGTTCTAGCCAGTCATCTACGTCCTAGCCACGCCATTAAACGGAGTCTACAGAAGAGAGAAAGTGACGTAACATACGCTCTCTCAGTACAGCCATTGCAAGGAACTCACGTTCAATTCTCCAGTGTGCAACGCTTAACAACCAATCAAGGGCTGTCTGCAGTTCTAGAAAATAGTTGACTAGAGAAAGCTGGTATCGTACCCTTGTACACTCGAAAGGTATCAGTCTTTACTGAGAATAACTCCCACATAAACATTCCCATATTTCCCTTATAAGTATGGTCGACTCTCCTTGCTAACCTTTACAACATTAGCATACACCTCAACCAAGCCATATATCCCTTCAGGAAATATACAAAATCCATTGCTGACCCCCATAGCGTCATCGACGGCATCGTCACCATCACCAAGGAGCAACTACATCATTGTGATAAAATATAATTCGCTCTCTATCACGAGAAGAGAATACAAAACAACAATAGTGCAATTGCCAATAAAACCAAATAAACGATGTCCTAAATGAAGTTAAACATACTGTACATATTTATAGCCCTTCTACTTACGTCCTTTTCTAAGTATCGCTAAGGTGGGCGTCTAATAAACTGAACTGTTGAACTTGGCAGTTCGAGCCAGAAAACTAAATTCATTTGATCCTTTGAATCAAATCAAAATAAACAAACTTTTTAGAACAATATCCGTTTAATTAAGAAAGAATTATAATTAATTTAGTAATAAAACGATGTGTTTTTATTTTAATGCACATTCCATAAAGATCATCCATAGTTAGAAATCTCGTAATAACAGCAAAGGTAGATGCTGGTATTTTTGACAAAAAGCGGGTTAAAAAACAAATTTTAAATAAAAAAAATAAAGAAAAGTAAGTTAAATTTCTTTTATTCACAAGAAATAAGATAGATAGGGCAGAATGAAAGGTGTAAAATGAAGTGAAGTCAAAATCAAAGAATTATCTTGAAAATGTTAAATAAGAGGGGCTGGCCAAATTATGATATATATATACATACATACATAAATTAAATTATAATACAGTTGAAAGGTTGGTCTGATTTGACTAAACACGATATTTAGATTAAACACATTCTGAATTAATAATAACACACTGTGTTAGATTATTTTTTCTTGTTAGGTAATAAGTCGGAGAAGTGAGAGCGTTTGTTTTATTTCTATTATTGACGAGGACAACCAATTAATTTAAACTTGTTCGTTTGTACTTTATTTCATTTTTATAATTTTACTGTAAGTACAATTATACACATCCTCTTATGATGTTTCCAATAAATCCAATATATGTTAGAAAATGTCGCTTATTTATGGTATCTTTCCACGTTTAAAATGAAGAGATTGAAGACGAATTAAAGATCAAATTATTCTTTTATTATATAAATATTCATATGTATTAATATGAAAATCTCACATCTTTGTAGCTGAATTAAGTAAATCGAGAAAAATACTTTGAGTAAAATTGACAACATAATTTGGTGTTTAGATAGTTTGTTAATTGATTTGATTTATTAACCTAATTTAGAACTAAAAGATAATAATTTTTTATTCTCGAGTTTTTATAGAACCTAATTTTTAAGTATTAAGAATATCATAATATTGTCTGTGCATTTTTTATTATTTGGTATTGAGCACATTGTTACAATTTTAGTCAACGTTAACTTAAAATCAATTGCTTAATTTATATTGTGGTACAGTAGGTCATATTTATAGATTTAATCGAATTGCAGATTTCGTAGCTTGTATTTATATTATATACTACAGAGAATTTGTGTTAATTAATGTAATTGTAAATATATTCATTATTATTTAATAATAATTAAATAAAAATTTTTTATAAGATTCACTATTACATACTTGCATTTTTATTTCAAATTTTGTATTCTCTAATAAAATAATTTTTTATTTTAGAGGAGAACCCATATCTAATCTTCCAGTAGATATGCGACCATTGCCAAAAGAACCTGATTTTGATGAAAAAAAGAAGAAAAATATGAGAAATAAAATAAAAATGAAAGATAATAAAGATAAGCCCAATATTAGTTATCCTACTAACTTTGAACATACTGTTCATGTTGGATTTGATGCAGTGACTGGTGAATTTACGGTAAGTATAGTACTTTACGTTTCATTCGTTATCTTTCAATTAAAATCTGTTTAAAAAAAATAAGTAATGTAGAGTAAAATCAGATTTTTTATTGACAATCAAAGATTTTGATTATAATAAACAATACGTTATAAATAAATAATAATTATAGTAATATTTATTTTTCAAGCTGCCATTGAAAGTAAGTAAAAAGTACGTTATAATTTAAACCATACATGTATATTTAGTATAATATGAAAGTATATAAAATTGTCTTAGGAAGTTCTTTTTGCATTATTTGATGAAAGGGTATAACATTTGAGATAAAATATGTAAAATTATTATATATCTATATAAAGATATTATCTATATATTTTTTTATTAATGTAATTGCTTCGAGGAGTAAAATTTATAGAAATATAAATAAATTTTATTTAATTAATTATTTATTTAATTTAGTTAAACAGAACAATATTGTTAATATTAATCATTTACACGTTTATTTTTTAAGATAACTCTTTTATTTCTTCAAAATTAATGATTTGTAGGTCTGAAAATCATCGATTGTATTTTTAAATATAAGTATCCATGAGCTCTATAGTTTAACAGAAATAAATCCGAAATGTCGATTATTAATTTTTTTATAATTCTATCATAGTTCAAACCATTACAACGTCCTTCATTCTAAAAATTCATGTTTTAAAGTATATATAAACGTACAACATTGTTCGAAACTTTTTCATTAAATAATAATTGTGTTCTAAAAACCATCATAGCCAGCATGGATGTGAATTTGTTTACTATACGAATGACACTTATTGATAAACACCATAAATGAATCAAATGAAAGTATGTAAAGTATATGAAAATAGTTTATTAAGTCATACAACTATTTGATATTAAATAAGATATATACTTCTAAAGTAAATTCATACACTTTCTGTATAGTAATATATTCAATTAAGTGTTATGTAAAATCCTATATGATCTTAAAAAATAAATTTTTTACTGCTCTATTAAATTGCACATAGTGACAACGTAAATTAAAAAACAATTGATATATCTGTCGAATGTAATATTTATAAATATATTAATAATATAATATTAATATATTAATACTATTGTGGCGATATAATACATTACAATGATTTACGAAAATATTAAAAGAAAATTCGACAAGCTATCCTAAGTTAAGCTTTCGATACAGACCCTAATGTTTTAATAAAAATTGGTATCCAAAATATAAAAAATTTATAATCAAGATATTTAATAGTTAATGATAATGACTTAGTCAAAAATAGAGATTTAAATTAAGTGCATAATATTACTTTGTAAATAGGAAAAAACGAAGGAATTATAATTGCAGCTGTAATAGTTAATAACAGGTAATAACAGTTAAAAATAATAAGAATACAGTTTAAAGCAATTAAAATTATGAAAAATGCATATTCAAATTATGAATAAAATGTATATAGATTAAAAAATATTTAAATATTAATTTAACATATTGAACAATTAAATAAGTTACCTTCTTTGCAGTGAAAAATTGCATTATATAAAGGTAATGCTCATATATAAAGCTGTAATTAAAATATAAAAAGAATATATGTATAATTAGAGAAATTAAACTCTTTATTAAAATATGAATATTTTCATTTGAAACATAAAGATTCAGTAATTATGAAAGCTTTAACTGTAACGACTACTATTAAATATAATTAAATAATATAAGTAAATATACGTAAATAAAATGCATATAAATAAATTTAAATATAATAATTTTAAACTTAAATTGAACATTTAATAAGTAAAACTGAAATTTCAAAAAAGAAAATGTATTTTCTATAAGGCTGAACTTATACTGTAGTTCAATTAATCATATTAATTCTATTAATTTTTTAAAAGCTTGAATTTCTTATTAAAATTTATATTAAAATTTTAACAGGTGCAAAATTAACAGAACTTAAAAATTTAAAGTATTGGCAGCCTTCTTTACTGTTAATATGTTACTACATTCATTGATATGTGTTAATAGGATTCTGGATAAGCAAATAATAATTGTAATAATTCTAATTACTTAGTTTATATATTGAAAATATTATGTAAACAATTTGTACAATTAAAAAATATAAGTAGAACTTCAAAAATTTGATTAAAAAAAGAATTGATACAAACTACATATATCACTATTTAATAATTTTTAAATATAGAGCATATTCGTAAAAAATCATGCGGTAGTAATGATGTAAATGATAAAGTAATATCTCTCTGGTTAAAGCTCGTATATATGATCATATTAGATAATAATTTAAATATAGGATTTCATTTATTGACAAGACAAGTTCTAAGAATATCTGTGTACTCTTATAGTTATACAACATTAGCTAAATAGTAAATAAAAAAACCATTTGAATAAAATATTTTGGTTTTATAAATTTATATCAACTTGCTTTCGTTTCTATTGATCTGAACAGTTTCATTTATACTCCCTTTATTGGTAATTTTTTTAAACGTTAAATGAAGGCAATATTTGTTTAACAACAAAATTGACTTTTTGAAAATGTATTTAAAAGCCTAAAAATATTTTTTAATGTAAGTTATATAAATGAATTAAATGCTTTGTAGTATTGAATCGAAGGTAAATATTTATTAAAAACAAAAATTCTATTGCATAGAGACAATCTACTTTTAATATACTGAGCATTGTGTTGAATAATTAAGATTCATCAAAAGAAAAGCAATTATTCTGGTGAAAAAGAAAATTGACAAATATAAATTTAAATTGTATGATTTATTGAGATATTTATACAAAAAATTAATTGTTGCATATAGCGCATAATAAATGTTGATTTTTCATATTTCATGAAATATTTTTAATATTAAAGCTAGAAAAAATAATCAGTGATCTACTAAATTAATATTTGTTGTATACCATTATTTTTCAAAAACAGCATCGTTAAATTTATATGTCTATATATTTTAATTGGTTGCATTATATATATATAAGCCCACATAAAGCAGAGGAATCATAGTTACATAACATCAAATTCAAATTATATATAGTACAGGTGCTTTAAAATATTGTAATATTAATTATAAATATATATCGCTGAAAAATATTAATGCAATACATCATATTTCTTTATAACAATATGTAAATAAGTTGATAAACTATTTATTAATAAATAATCAAATTTTTATGACAATATTTTTTAATTTTCAATTTTTAATATGAATATTGATTTAAACATTATTTACATTTAATAAATACAATAAAATATGTATTTTACCAAGTTAAATGTAACACTTCTAATTTAATATTTTTTAACTAAAAAGTAGTTTAAATTCCTGTATTAAAAATAATATTTAACAGATTTAATAAAAATTAGTAAAAATCAACACATTTAATTCATGATAATTTATAAAATAACGAGTATTTCATCTTATTAAAATAGAGAATCTAAATTGTTTATTATTTTTTCATTACACATATATTCCGTAATACTATTTCTAAGCTATCAAATTTGAAACTATTTTACTAATATTATACTAGTTTAAAAATATTTTGGTAGATTCATGAATCATTTCATCAAAAAAATTAATACAAGGAGCTAAGAATATTTTTTATCGGATAGTTTTTTTTTTTAATCTTAATCACATATTTTAAATTATTAATATATAATAACAATTTTATAAACATAAAAGTAATTTTTAATTTAAATTTTAAAACTATTTTTTATAAGAACGCGTTTTATCAATTTATTTAAAAATTCTTGATAGATTTTGCTTTTGCTATTTTTCATACTTTAGTTTCAAAAAAACAGATACAAAATTTTGATAATTTTTAAAATTTATTAAAATCACTAGTTTTTAAGGAAATAAAATAATAACAAAAAATACTGATATATTATATTTTTAGTCTAATGTACAATGATGGAATTGCCTCAAACTTTTGTTATATATATTAAAATAAAAGCACTTGTGCATTATGATATGAACTGATTTCGTAAATATTTCATTTAAAATTAATATTTAATTAAAATGAAAATTATTACATACGAATGATTTTAATTTTTATCTATGTACATTCTATTTATCATTTTGTATATTAAAAAATAACAATCTTTTAATTAATATTTTACGTTAATCATATTTTGTACTTGTGATAGAATATTTTCAATTTATTCATTCTGATTAGTTAAAAATCAAATTTACAATAAAAAAATTATTTTATATTTTCATACTAATACATGAAACCAAATTATAGGCAATTTTATGTGAAATAAATACATAAAGATTATTATTGTAAATCATTATTTTATATCAAGATTCTTTTATTTTCTTATATATTTAGAATTACGTTAGAAATATTTTAAAATAAAGACAAAATATTTGTACATCATTTCGTAAAATACATTGTTTATATATGGGTGATTACATTTTACGTGATATTAAAAAAAAGGTACAAAAATAGTGAATAATGAATGCAATATTATTGTTAAGCTGGTAATATATAGTAGTGAGAATGGTTAAAACATAAAAAAACTAGATCTTTACGCAACTTGTCTCTCTTTATTGTTCAATAATTTCTAATTTACAATGATTGCGTACTATATATGTATTACTTTTATAGTAAGTAGTCTTATAGATTTTACAAATAAACTAAATTTTACAGATGCTCATAATCTTAAGATTGATTTAGATAATGATGTATAGATATTATAATATTTTTATTACATTTCTCACTTACTTTGTTCTATGAAAGTAGAGGAAATAGGAATCTTCAATCTTTTTAAACAAAAAATAAATAATGCTACTATCGCTAATAAAATCGTCATTGTTTTATAATTAATTATTTAAAAATAAGGTTTTGGTATACGAAATATACGGATGTAACCAGTGTCGTGAGATATAGCGATCATATACGTAGATAAATTAAGATCAAAGTATAAATTAAAATATATTAAAAACAATATTTACCATATAAATTTAATAAGTATATATTATAATTTATAAAGTTTATAACTAGTCTAAATTAAATTACGTCACTAAATTAATAACATTTTTAATGTTATACTTAATGATGATAACTAATATCCAAAAAACTTAAATACAAATGTTTGAATACAAACTTAAATACAAACACAATAGGTAATCAAATGCTGATTTATAAATATTATCTAATATAAATAATTATTGAAATAATTAATTTAGTAACTAGACATTGAATTAACTAATTTCGATAATAATGATGTGATAGAAAAAATAAGTTTTAAAATGTAAATTATTTGTTCTGAAACTTTATTTTATCAGTTTTGCTGTTAAAAATAAACTATCGAAGTAATTCCATTGAAATTTACAAAATTGTTCTTAAAAATTATAAAATCTGATTTATGATTATTATATGTAGTATATATTTAAGAGTGAACAGAACCGACATTGTAAAGACAATGGATTACAATGTAATACATTTATTTTTTAAATTTTTAATAAATGATGAAGGAATTACTAAACATAATGTAGGTAAAAATGAATTGAATTAACGTACAAATAAAAAAATTATTACTTCAGAAAAATTATATATAATAAATCTTTATAGAAATTTTATTTGAATAAATACTTGATTACTTTACAACATTTATAAATTTAGATTATCTTTTATTTCTAAATATAAAAATAATAAAAACTATAAAAATATGACCGGATTGTTTGAAAACACTAGTTTATCATTTATTAAACAAATATAACCAATGGGATATGATCTCATTCATTTTGTTGTATTAATATTATTGAAATTTAAAGAAAATAGTATACCCATAATTTCTGTAGTTCATAACAGTGCGTATTATTTTTAATTATTAGCCATAACAAAAAACTTTTTTCGTTAATAAGATAAATTATACATATTTAATATAAAACATTGAAACTTTAAAATTTATCAAAAATTGTTATGTAGATATTTGTGTTATTATTATAAGAAAGTTTGACTACGAAAGTATCGTTAGAGAAAAGATTATACAAGGTTATTCAAATTTAAGTTATACACCGATTAAATAATATTACAAATATTTATTAAGTGATGAATAATAAATTACAGGCAACTTACTTAAAAACTATACATAATATTTTTTAATTATTTTATACTAATTTGTATAAAATACTATAAAAATCAAGAAAATATAAATAAATAATAATAGTATGGAAATTTTTTATATTGATAAAAATTGAAAAATTAGATAAATAGAGTATATATCATAAGTCTAATATTACACTATTTATACTAGGCTAATATTGCTTTAGTAAAAATATGTAGATCATGGCAATTTATATAGATAATTATGTATTATTCCATAACAACTAGGAATGCGTTATATACAATTCTATGGATCAATTTGTTGAAAATAATGTACTACCTTTCTTGAAATAACAAAACTATAATAAAAAGAAAATAAAAATATATAACCAAAAAATTTGGAAATTTAATGAGGCATGTAAAGTTAATTTCAATATGTAAATAAAAATATTCACTTATTACTTTTATTTATCAAGCAATTATATTTCACAGTATAATCTACAATTGATAGTAGATGGTGTTTTGTTTAATAGTTACAGTAAAACTAAATGCTTAGTTTGCTGAAAGTTATTTACATATAAATTCAATAATAATACAAAAATTTTCAATTAAAGTAAAATCTTTAAAAAATAAACATATACTGAATACTTAGAAAAAATAGTTTTAAAACACAAATAGTTTATTTTAAAATTTAAACTTATGGCAAATAAGTTTCATTTTAAATTAACATAATAAATTTCATTATAAACTGATTTAAAATTAGCCTTATGTTAATTAATGTTGTGCTATTTTCATATAATTTAATATATATAAATCTAACTATTCTTTTGTTTTATATTTGAATTATTATCATAAAAACTAGTTTTTCTCGATTATTCCTTTACTATTGACTGGTAATCCGTGCTATAGAAGAGGTTCCACTGATCAGAAGATGACCTATGTATGAGACACTGTCGGCAATGTATACCATGATGGTCTCCAAATAAACAAATCTCAAAACCCGCTTGTGAAAACATTCTACAATTTTATAGGAAGCATTCCGATTATTTATCTATTTTCATGAAATATGATTTAAAAATATGTATCATTTCCGAATGGAAAAAACTATGATAATTCTATGAATAACGATTCAAGCATTAATTTTTATATTATATACATCAACGACAGCATACAATGTAATTTCATTAAATAAATATAAGAACTTATTAAGTAATTATCAAAATCAAGTAAAAAAAATGATTAAATATAAGAAAAAATTTATTTTATTTCAATCGAATTCTAGATAAATTTAAAATGATTTCGCAATAACATTTTTAAGAATTAAAACAATAAAATATTAATTAGATTCATTGAATCCAAAGATTATTGTTGCTTTCTAATACAAAAAGTGATAATTCCAAATAATGCCTTTAAATTTTCAATATTTACCTTTTACATTCAGAAACTTAAAACAATTTTTATTTATTTCGTCTCTGATTATTCTTTCTATCTTATACAAACCTTAATTTATATATAAAAATTAGATAGAAAATTTATTAATAAAATAATTATTTTCCACTGGAACTAACTGTTGGTAAAATTGTTTACACGCATTAATATTTGATATATAGACCTAATTAAATTATGCTGGATTGATTTTCTAATTTATTTTAAGCTTTAATTTTATATTTTAAAAATGGCTACAAATGTATGCACTCAGAATAGAACTAAGAAAATAGTATATTTTAATACATATTCAATATAATTGAAGCCTTCAAATTTTAAAAATAAATTAACTTGTTATTATAATAAAAAGTTTTTTAGAAAAATAAAACTAAAATATATTTTAGATTGCCAAATTCATGTAAGTGAATTGCATTACTGCGCAATAAAGAATTTACGTATGACAAATATTTTGTATGTACATTATATATTATGTAATTCGGATTTATACTAGTATTTTAAACGCGCGCGCGTGTGTATGTGTTACCAGATAATTAAAACATCAGGAATCGTAAGTCACCCGAGACGTTTTATTTATTTCAAATTAAATAGTTACGATCATTCTATTTTTGTTTAAGTTAATTAAAATTTTACCGGTATATTTTATTTTTTATTTTATTGTCCCTATTGAAATCTTCAAAACAAATTTCTTTAATTTATTATAAATATATAAAAAATTAATACTAAATTAAGGATTTTATATTCTAGTTTGAATATATTAAATAATACCAATATTATATTTCCTAATAAAACATTTTTATCTAAAATTAATTTAATAAATACTTTATGTACGACGTTACTTAGTATTTATCTTTTTAAGAAACTGTATTCAATCTTACTTATATAATTAAATTCTTTGTACTGAAGTATTAGCATAAAACAAGTTAATTTATATATCAGCTAGCATATATTTTTATATACTTATTTAATTAAATTACAGTGTAAAGGAATCAAGTCATTTATTTGTATAATTATTATATTTTGTTTATAGTGAATGAAAAATGTCAATGAGTAAAATTTATTATATTTAATATAATTATTTAGTAAATTAATTCAGAAAAATTTTTTCATTATTTTAGAAATTTAAAATTCTTTGTTATCGTTAAATAAGCTTTTGAGCAGATATTTATTAAAACAGGAATATTTATACAGGAATATTGCTTTTTTATTAGATTTAATGTATTATTAGAATATTATTATATTAAATCCAATTAAATTCTACTTTAAATAAATTGACTGCAACTATTTAATCAATTTATTAAATAAAATAAAATTTCATGAATATTTTATATGGTAACGAAGGTTTATAAAATCAATTTTTAAAATAATAAATTTATGCAGCTATAAGTAATGTTTCTGTCATGTAATATGCTATTGACCCTTAATTTATTAATAGCTTATATATATTCATTTTTTGTATCAACTTTGATTTACTTAAAAACAAGTTTATTTGTAAAGTATTAATATGTACGTTAACTAATTTATTTATCTCAGGGAATGCCTGAAGCTTGGGCAAGACTGTTAATGTCTAGTAACATCAGCAAGCAAGAACAAAAGAAGAATCCTCAAGCTGTATTAGATGTATTGAATTGGTATGACAACAGTAGTAAAGAAGGCAAAGGTTCTAAATATATGACTACAATGAGAACATTTGGAGGTGTCGGTAAGATATAATCTTTATGTACTATATTTAGGTATATGTAAATTTAATGTAACTCTTATTTAATAACTTGTATATATAATTTAACTTTTACACTTTTACTCTTATTTAATAACTTGTATATATAATTTAACTTTTACACAATAGAAAAAGAGAGGTAAATTGCATATTCATTATTTAGCAATAACACTTCTCAGATTTAAACATATAACATGATTTATTTTGAAAAAATTTTATCTATCATTATTATCTCAAAGTAAATGAATGTATATAGAAACCGTAAAATTATATTAAAGCTTATAACAGAAGTAATAGAATCTTTCAACTATATTTAATTTTCGAATAAAAATGTGTATTAAGTTTTATCTTAAATGCATCATCGAAACTGATAATATCCGTTACATTAATTTCTAAAAAGTTGTTCAATTTATTTGTATAAAATGTTTTATACTCATTTATACATTTATCAATTTATGTATTGATTACGCATTTCATATCACAAATATTAAAAATGTAATATTTTTTATAAACTTGATTATTTAACAAAATCACTGGTACCTATTCAGAAATTTAATTTTTGAAAATTTTAGTAGTGTATCAGAATAAAATCTTATCAAGACTAAATATTTTTATTTTTTTAATTTCAATGCTATGTTTTAATTATTTAATATTTTACATTAAAAAAAGACATAGTAAGTTCCTTAAATGTACAACACAAAAAATGGAAATAAGTAATTTTTTTAGAAAAAAATCTTAAAAATTTTATATTTTATGAGTCCCTAAATAAATATAATTCTTTGCATGATTTTTAAGAAATATCATTCAAAATATTATTTTATGTTCATAACAATATAATATTGAAAAGAACAATATTTTTAAGTTTAGATTAAGTCTAAATAATCTAAACGTTATTGAGTATCATTCACTCAAATTCGAATCTAATTTATGTATTTGATTGAATCTTACATACGTTTAAAAATCATATTTATAAGTTTTATTATAGTACTAATAATTCATAATTTGTTGTTAATATTGCAAATTATTAAAAAAAATTAGTTTTGTAAGATAGTTTAAATAATCATGTTTATAGTTTAAATTTAGTTTTATAATTAACCAGTTTTGTGGAAATTATAGTTTGATTGGAAAATGAAAATTTGCTTATAAAGAAAACATGTATGTTTAGAAATAGATTAAATCCACCAGTTTACTGGTGGGAGTAAAGTGTAGGTAAGTGGAAAGGTTAGTGCATAAATTAAATATTTAACATTAAATTTTAACATTTAATATTTTATTTCTGCTTTTCGTGCTGTTTGTTGCGTTTTACTTTACAAACTACTTTATAATGATTCTCAGTTGGTGATGAGAATTATTGAGATCTTGCAGTTCCGTGACAGTTGCCACGTGGTATTAGCATGCACACCAAGCAGAGGTAAGATGTTGTAAATTTCTGGACCCTCTTGGCGTACTTAGATGCTCTTGTGCTTGATGGTAAATTATTACACTGAGAAGTAAGAGGTCGTAAATCTCTTGCCACTTCTTTGTGTAGTGCCACGTGGTGGTAATTTGATTGTCTCCTCCTTGAGAAATGTGTTGGCAGTGAATATGATAAGTGCGCGTTGGCACTGGATCCTTGAAGTCTTTCAATAACTTGGTGCTTTTGAGCACTATGTATACGATTCTACGTGAGTAGTTATACGAAACTGTTGCTTACACCTTCTTTTTTGGTGTCTCTTCTTCTTTAGTGGCTCTTCCGTAGTAGCTCTGCAGAGTGTGTGCGCTTGGTAGCACCTATTATGAGAAAGGCCTGCGACTGCTTCGCGCTCGGGGTACTGGTGTATAAACTCTATTTAGTGTGAAGTTGTTGCGTGTACCTTTCGTAGCGGCTCTGATCCTTGAGAAACTCTGGCGAGGAAAGGTGGCTATAACCACCTAGAATGAGAAAGTGTGCGTTGACATTGAATCCTTGAAAAACTCTATCCAGAGGAAGGTGACTATGGCACCTTGAGCTGCTATGCGGCTGCACAAAGAGATTTGACTACCGATTCTACCGAGCGAGTTTCTGCTTCCTTCTTCCTCGACGACTTCAGTTTGAGTGGTGAGTCTTGTTGTCGTCTCCTTTAAATGCAATTAAGGAACGCCTACTTCCTTTGCATCTCCAATCAGAGCGCCTTTTCTTTGCGTCTCCAATCAAAGCACCTTTTCTTTGCGTCTTCAATCAGAGCGCCTTTTCTTTGCTTTTCCAATCAGAGTGCCTCTGGCTGAGGCGTCTCTACTAGAAGCGTCCCTAACAGCTGCGTCTTCAATAACAGAAAGAAAGAGAGTAGTCTTCTCATGGCTTTCTCGCCAAGAGGGCGGCCTGGATGAAGTACCCTCGCTTGCCTATCCAAGCGACAGTATGGCTGGACTTAACAATGGATGCAATTCTGTACCGTTAGATTTTAATTTTTGGGTTGTAACGACTATTGCCAGGTATCTAATTACCTGGGTTTTCTAGAAGCCTAATGACTTGGTTTTTCCAGATGTTTAACAAATTCCGTTTGCCAGATGTCTGATGACTTGGGTTTGCCGGACGTTTAACAACTTGGGAAGATTTCTTGCAATTTCGAGCAATGTGTGATTGTGATAACGATGGCACAGTATTTAAAATAAAAATCAGTCAACAAATTGTAATATCCGCGCATAAAGCACCTCAGTATATATGTGGAAATCATACAGCGAAGGTCTGCGTACAAAGTTTTACGCTACAACGTGCGTTTAAATATACTATTTTAAAACTTTTATACTTGTCACATATATCAATGGGTATCATATAACAAGTCAAAACATGGCCAATATTCAAGAACAACTGCTTATAATCGGCTTACCGTATATTCTTTATTCTGTATGTTGAATAGTTTAATTCTTATTAATACTTAAGGTTGAGTATATAAATATTTTCATCGAAACTATATTTTTGATCGTGATTTTGGACAAGTAAGACATAATTTAATCATCGTATAATCGCTTTATATTACCTCTAATTTTGAAAGATAATATGCCAGCTATCCAAAAAATTGTACAAGCTTTGATGTTATTCGTTATTATAGAAGCTTGTGAAATCAATCATCCTTATATAAATAAGTAATCATAGAAATACCGAAGGAAATCTCCTTTATTTTTTAAAGTAATAATGTAAATATGAAGAAGTACTTAAACTTCACATTATCATTCATTATAAAATTTTAAGTAAAATCAATTTATTTCTCAAATAAAATAACCAATCATCAATATCAAAGCTACAGCTCTATTACATATTCATAATCCTACATTCGTCATGATATAGTTTCTTTTAATTACCGTCAAAATCCTGTTTTTCTGAATAATTTCTGTATATAGAAATATAAAATATTAACATATATTGAAGTCTTATTTACGTAAACTGATATATCAATAAATAAATTGATATCTATGTAAGGAATATAGTTAATATATTAAGTACGTAAGTAAAATAGAGTACCGCGCGAGGAGAGCCAAATATCTAAAGTTAAGTGTAAGCTCCCAGATGGATGATGGAAGGATTGCGGGCAAGTAGACAGGATAGTTCAATAATAAATAGCTTTTGTTATTTGTTGTAGTTTATTGCGATAATTGCATTAATTGAATTATAATGATTTTTAGTTGATGTTTGAATGCCGTCGTTTCTTGAGTTTTGTATTGTTATTGTCACAGAGCGGTAATGTGCGTTGCATGTACAGGTAGAAGGGCGTAACCTTCTGGTCCTCTATATGTAATGCACATGGTGGTAGAGTTATACACGTAGAAGTATAAGGTCGTAAACCCCCGCGCTCCTTGTGTAGTGGCACGCGGCAGTAACTTAAGTTCGCCTTATTATTGTTTTATTACTTACCTTGTAGACTCTGCAGGTGTGCTCTTGGTGGCACTTCATCTTAGTCTGCAGATATTGCCGCGTACGGCATCACGTAAGTCTATCTTGTGGGAACTAAACTTGCCCCTTATGCGTTTGCAGATTGTGTGCGCTTGGTCGCTCTATTTTTCTTTACCTTGTGAGGCATATCGTGTATTATTATCGTTATTAACGAATGGAACTTTTACCTTGTGAGTTCTGCAGATTTTGTGCTCTTGATAGCAGCTAGTGACATTTGCAGGTTGTGCCTCGTGCGGCAGCTTGTACTTTATGTTTTGTGTTTTGCTGGCTATACCTTGTATTGTTTGTTGAATTTGCCTCGAGTGGCTCCTTATACGTTATGATTATGTTGTGCTAAGTGTACCACTGTTTTCTTGTTTCCTTTTCCTTGTCTTGCACTACTGCAATTGTATGGTTTGATTTGCACTTATCTTGCACTTGTTATGAGTTGGATATGACTACGCTTTGCCTCTTAATTCTTGTCCTTTACTGTGTATGTCTACATCCTTGTTATTTGGCGTTCCTTTAGAGAAGAAGCTTGCCGGCTTCTCTTGTGAGAAGAAGCTGTTGCGTCTTGCCAGCGTCTTTCGTAAAAGCATTCTCGGCCACCGTGTGGTCTTTGCGAATTGTCTCCTTGGCGTCTCCAATCAGAACGCCTCTTTCTGCGCGTCTCCAATCGAATTGATTCTTTCATTATTGGCGGCTCCAATCAGAACGCTTCTTACTTGCATCCCCACCATGAGTGGACTTCTTTGGCGCGTTCTCGCTTCACTATCCGAGCCACATGTAGTTGGGCTTGACAACAGCGTATACGTTACAGTGTTGCCTTTAATATCCTTTTTCCGGATGTTAAACGACGTGGTTTTTTGCTTATATTTTTATAACTTGTTTTTCACAACTTTGAATGACATGTTTTTTCTAGACACTTGATCGCATATTCTCGCCAGATGTGTTTATGAGTTGTTATATTTAGATAGTCAAGGGTGTGTATGAATTATTTTTCTTTAGATAATCAAGGATTTGCTCTTTCGATAACTCTTATTTCGAGTTTTCCAGATGTCTAATGAGCTTGAAGTATTCTTACATTCTCGAACAGAGAGTTATATTGTAGATTTAAAAGGTACATTTATATTAATATTTATTTGAAATGCAAATAGCCACATACCTTTATAAAATTATTAATGGAAAGAGAAGAAAATTTTGTTAAGACGGAACATATATGGGAGATTTGTTTTAAAACGATTATTCAATAATTGTAGATTATTTAATTTTAACACTTACTAAAAAACAGAAATGTTATGTTATTACGATCTGGATTCAAATACAATAAATTATAAAAGTATGATAGGCATAAATATCTAATGTACTTAATTATAAAAATTAATGAAATATGAACGTTTGTGCGAAAGAGTTCGTATGCAATTAATTAACGGTTTACACATTATAACTGTTTTGGTAATTTTTTTTTTATAGTTCAATATTCAGTTATAAAGATTTACTATCAGATTATAAAAATTATATTGTATTTATATGTAATTAGATTTAATGTCATTTAATGACTAATGATAAATATTTATAACTACAGTTAAAAAATTACTTAAGAATTTTTGAGAAATATTCCTTGTAGCGTACGATTGCATGTCATTTAATTAAATGCATGTCATTACAATAAAATTTATTAGTTTAAATGTTTAAATGTTTGTAAAAATAATTGGACATTAGAAAATATGATATCACGAGATTCCTATATTATACAGTTAGAAAAATATAAATAAGAAAAATGACATTTTTAATTACTTGATATATGAATTGACTTTTATGCATAGAAACTTAATATCTTTCAGCTTTATGTTAAAAATTAATCAAATTATACTGCAAAATGTTCAAGATCACAATTTTTGTTTCATCTTCATGTTTTGTTATTCCATTTAATGGAACTACAGATTTCTATATGAAGTATATTTCAGCTTATTAAAATGAGTGGTGTGGTCTTATATGATTTTAGTAATTTGATAAAAGATTAAATATATATATATATAACTCTCAGTTATCGCAAAGAGTTTTTTTCAATACAATTGGATAAGAAGTGATGCAATTCTTATCAATTTCGCACAATATACTTTACTTTCCATTTTTTATCACTTTACTAGCTGCTGTAGTTTTGCTCAAATAATAACTTTATATACCTAACTTTTTCAATGCTAGATATAGTTGATTCTCTTTGAAGAGGCAATATATATCTCAGCTAGAGAGATTATTTAATTAAAATAAAAGGAATTGAGGTAGAGCATAATAGAAAAATATTAATAAAAAGTTGATTATTGAATATCAATTATTAGAGATAATAATATGTATGTATATAACTATGTAATATTAACGAATAATTTTCAGATTCGACTAATAAGTTATTTAAAATTGTTTGAATGGTAAGATGGATTTGATTTTCAGAACTCGTTATAATCCTTATGAATTTGTTTGAAAAACACAATAAATTAAATTTAATATATATAAAACCTTCATGAATATAAATAGCTTCTTAAAGATTTAATGAAATTGATCAACAGCAATTACTTAATAGAGATTTTTTAACGTTTTAACTTATATTATGAGTATGTCAATATTAATTTATTTTCAGAATAACCTTTACATTACTATCTGAGAGATATATATAATTATAACTGCTTATATAGCAATTTATTAAAATTATTTCTTAATGTTATATTCAATTACCATCATAAATATATTTTGTATACAGTTGAAGGAATCCCAATGTTATACATAATAGAATACAATTATAATATTATGTTTAAACTTATATATTCATATTTCAGTAAATATCTTAAAAATTGTATTTAATAATTTCTTATTTATTAGAATTTATTAAGTATACAATAAATGCGAAGCTAACATAATTTGAAAAATTTTTATAGTGCTTTAAGATGCAAATTTTTTATTAATGACTTCTAACGGCAAAAAATTCATTTGTGGAAATCCATATTTTTATAATAATATCTAGTTTACTAGGTATCATCTAATAAACTAGATATTATTAATGATGTTTATTAAAAATTGAAAATTTATAAGTTTTCAGAATAAGATATTTTATATATATCATGTAAAAAGTAGGAAAAGGAAGAAAGCACTGTATAAATATATTTCATAGTATTTGTACCGCCTAATAATGTTAAAAAATTAAAAATTAAAAAAAAAATTTTACATTATGTAAAAGATATACGAAATATTGAAAGCAAATAAAAAATAGATTTTATATAATATGGGTGTTCTAAATAAAAAAATTATGTTAATCATGATTACATGCAAAAAGTTATTATTGTAATAGGATTGAACTTAATGTTAGGATGATCTTTTTAAATTAATATAACTATAAATCACTACAATAAGATTAGATATTCAAGTATTAACAATATATATTTAATTTTTTATTCAGATTCGTGCAATGGAGGATTTTATCCAACTCCATTAGAGCGGTCTAATAGTCCTAGAAATCTAGGAGGTATAGCGTTTAGTACAAGTAATGTACGCAATCAAGTAATATCTCATACGTCTGGTAGTTTACATTCGCAACATTCATCAAGCAGGTAAAATGTTATGACTTGGTAACACTAATGTTATCTATTTTTTAAAGTGTCAATATTTTAATTTTTTAGTTATTTACATAAATATTCAGATTATGATTATGTCTAATAAGTGTATTTATTTTACAATTTCTGTGATTGAATCATATTTCAATAATAATTTATGTTTTATTACTAAAATTAGTGATTTTAAAAATACTTGCAAAATAAAATCAATAAATTCAATCATTGTAAGTAAGAAGTAAAATATAATTACTGATATATACCAATAATAAAGATGTATTGATCAACAACTAACCAATATATAAGATGTAAAATTGATATTGTTGATTTTACTTAAAAGAAATATCGATCAATTTAAACATGATAAATTAAAACTTGTTAACAATTATATATAATACGAGAATAAAACTTATATACAAAAAAAAAATTAAATCATAATAGAAATGATTAATATAATAAGTCGAGGTATCAAAAAACAATTTAGTAAAATATAATAATTAAATAATAGAACGTATTTTCCAATTTCCAAAAATTTGTGACAAACTAAAAAACCACTTTTTACGTACAGATTAAAAAATATAAAGTTTTTATTTTGTAGATCTAATAAGGATTTTATATATAAATAACTTATTGTACAGTTGATGAATTGCATAATCTGCTGAATTATATAAGTCTAGTAGAAAAACATTTCATTAAATAACTTGGTCACATGCGTTGTATATTTCCTTTGATAAATTTGTAAACATACAAGTACGCAAATTAAAATGAAATTGAATATAAAGTGATTAGTAAATACGACTATTTTTTATATTTTATTGAATAGAAAATTGTCAAGTAATTAATTTTTAAATTACAGAGTAAGTAGTAGTAGTCCAAGTAGCACACCAACAGATGCTTGTGCAACTAGTTCTGAACAAGAAGATGAACCACCGCCTCCACCTATAACAGTAAGACCAGAGCGTACAAAATCTATTGTAAGTGCATTGTATTTATTATATATATATATATATATATAGATAGATAGATAGATAGATAGATAGATAATTTGTATTACAATTTTAAAAAATATTAAAATCGTACGAAATGAATGAACTATTATTTATTCTTATTAGTTATATAAAAATTCTTTTAATAAAATATATTTTTATTAGCATTTATACATTTCAATTTTTATATTTTGTTACGCAAAATAAAAGAAAGGCAATACATAATTACGGTACTGGAGTACTAATTAGTTATACTTTGGACTTTTGTAATATATTATCTTTTCCACATATATTAATTTGATTTCCTGACTAACATGAAAGAGATAGAAATCACAACCTGCCATTAAGTAACCACAAATACATATAGAATACTAAATTATAAAACTATTAGAAGTGTACTAAACATTAGCATCATATAATATATAAATTAGATTAAACCATATAGAAGCAAAACCTTATCTATAAATTTATTGTTATTCTAAAGTAGAAAGTACCTAGATTTGTTCAGAAGTAAGAGCTTAAAGCTCTATATTTACAATATAAATTAAAAGAAACTTGCAATGTATTCTCTTTTAGAGTATTTCCTTATTTGGTGTAAAAGCAATATGGATTTTCATTACCAGTACTACATAATTAAGGGCTCTCGTTCGACTAAAGCAGGGGCTGGAATTGTTATAACTATAAGTCGAACCTGTGCACGTGCACATACGTTTACATATATATATATATATATATATATATATATATATATATATATATATATATAAATAGAAATATAAATATATATATATATATATATATTTATATATAATACAATTAATTTGGTAGCATTCATTGATGCTAAATTTCTGCGCCATTATAAAATACTAAGAAAGATACGGGTATTATTATACAATTTAACGAGCTATCTCTTCGCAAAAAAATCTTTAAACTGCTTTCTTATTCATTATAATCATATGCATAAAAAACAATGCGTAGTTGTTGTTTTGATTTAACACTTCATTGGATAAGCTGCAAGAATTTAGATGGCACTATCACTAATGTTTTGCCTTCTCAACAAAAAAAAAAGATCAGTACAAATTAACTTATGCTCTCGTAAACAATTTAAAATAATTTTAAAAAACAAAATTTTTTGACTAATAAAATCTTAAGAATGTATAGATTTTCTGAATTATAATTAATTACGTATGTTATAATAAATAAATTGAACAGCAACAAAAAACTATTCGTTGCAACTTGATTCAGGGCAATAGAGCTTATTATTTATCCAACTAAAATAAATTATTTGAATCTTTTACCAATATTAATTTAATTATTAATAAAAAAAATTCAATTAAGAATTGAATAATTATAAACAATTATATTTGTTTATATAACATGTGTGTATATATATATATATATATATATATATATGTTACTGGTAATTTTAACATAAATTTTTTTATACAGTATACAAAACCCATTGAAGAGGAAATCATTTTACCATTCACTACTTCAAGTACAAATTTACTTCAAAGAAATGGTTTGCCACAAGTACATCAATCGTTATTAGATAAGAATAAAAATCAAGCTTTATCAACACCTACCATAACAGCAGATCAATCACGATCGGTACAAAATGATAAAACGCGTAAAAAAAAAATGTCAGATGAAGAAATACTTGAAAAACTCAGAACTATTGTAAGCATTGGGGATCCAAATCGAAGATATACTAAAATGGAAAAAATTGGACAGGGTGCTTCAGGAACAGTGTTTACAGCAATTGAAAGCTCAACAGGAATGGAAGTAGCAATAAAGCAAATGAATTTATCACAACAACCTAAAAAAGAGCTTATTATAAATGAAATATTAGTAATGAGAGAAAATAAGCACCCGAATGTTGTAAATTACTTAGACAGTTATCTTATTGGAGAAGAATTATGGGTAGTAATGGAATATTTACCTGGAGGAAGTTTAACAGATGTAGTAACTGAAACTTGCATGGATGAAGGACAAATCGCTGCAGTATGTAGAGAGGTTTTACAAGCATTAGAATTTTTACATTGTAATCAAGTTATTCACAGAGATATCAAATCAGATAATATTCTTTTGGGATTAGATGGTAGTGTTAAGTTAACAGATTTTGGTTTTTGTGCACAAATATCTCCAGAACAAAGTAAACGGACGACCATGGTTGGAACTCCGTACTGGATGGCACCAGAAGTCGTTACTAGAAAGCAATATGGACCCAAGGTATTCAAAAACAATAAAAATAATATTTTTTGTTTATTTTATTTATTTATTTAAATAATTTTTATTTTATTTCTCGTAATATCAAGCATATAGTTTTAAAAAATATCGAAATTACACAATTTAATCCTTTAATATATTAAGATATTCAATTAATTCATTTTCCTTCCAAATATGTAAATTTAACAAAGCAGCATATGAACAAACACAATATTTCTGATGTTAAATATGTTTTAATTGAAATATAAATTATTTAAAGCTCGTAATGTATGTTGATGTAAATTAAAATTTATAGTATTCACTTACTAAAATACTATGTTACCGTTCCTAGATCTATCAAGTTTTTATTTGTACACTATATTTGTTATTGAATTATTATGTTAATACAAGGGTATAAAAAAAATTTACCAAAAATTCTTGTTAAACCATAACATGGTATTCAGTATTAATATCGTTAATGGAGTATTCAACATTACACAGAAAAATCGAGAGAACTAAACTTTATACATAATGTGCTTATTCTCTACATTTTTAAAATCATGTATTAAAGAAGATGATACGTATATGTATATATTATTTTTTATAATTCTATACTGTTAAAAAGGGGTCAAGATAACAAATATACTATTTTTCTAATAGATTATCTGTAGAATGTAAACTTTAAAATCTGTTTGACTTCCTTTTTCAACAGAACTTCGATTCATCTATACTTAAGCTTTAATATGAGAATACTATAACATACATAACTTAACTAGTGACACATATTTTAATATATTACAAAATTATATTGTAGTAGTTTTCATTCTTTTGATATACTGTAATCTTTCTATTGAAGCTATGTTAAGAGAAATTAGAAAATAAATAATTTCCTTCATTCAAGCCATTTTTAATTGTATCATGTTACTTGACTTTTATAATTATTAAAATTAAATAGCTAGTTTATTACAATTAAAAGAAGTACAATAGAAATTTGATAAAATAGTATCAATTGAGTTTTACATTTATTTTTTATTATTTAGCTTATTAGCAATCAATGCATCTATATAATAGTTATTCAATTGTACATTTTTTTTCTTCAAAATTTTAATATATACTAAATATAAGATGGATAAAATTTGATAAAATAAATTAAAGTATTAATGAAGGATTAGAAATTATATAGACCACACAGTGTGATTACATATAATATTTTCGTTTTGTACTTACTTTCATCTAATATTACATATCATGGGATTTTTCTGTAACTTAATAAAAATGGATATTTAAGATTCAAGTACAAACCATTAGTTTTGCAATGTAAAATTATAAGTACCTTAGAAAATAACAGTTTTAAAATAAAATTATTTTCAAAATTAATATATTTAATATAATTAAATTTCATTCATTATATATTGCAATTATAATTTCACTTTTTTCAGAGTATAAATTTTAGGAAAATTGAATTATTTTATAAAATATAATTTAAACAAAATAATACAATTTAATTTAAATTGTAGTTTGACTTTAAGTATTTAAAATATTTTTATTTAAATATCTTATTTTAATAGGTTGATATATGGTCACTAGGAATAATGGCCATTGAAATGATAGAAGGTGAGCCACCATACTTAAATGAAAATCCTTTAAAAGCATTATATTTAATTGCAACGAATGGCAAACCTGATATAAAGGAAAAAGACAAATTATCCAGTATTTTTCAAGATTTTTTAGATCAATGTTTAGAAGTGGAAGTTGAAAAACGGTCAGCAGCTTCAGATTTATTAAAGGTAATTAAATATATATTTTTTAATACACATATATATTTATATAATTTTTAAAGTGCAATTTTTTTTACTTTTAGCATCAGTTTTTGAAGCTTGCAAGGCCACTGGCATCATTAACGCCGTTAATAATAGCAGCTAAAGACGTAGCTAAGGAAGCGGTAAAGGAAGCTGCTAAAGGACATTAAAAATAGATGAATAAAGTTATTGATAAACATTTTTTCAGAAATGAGTTTTCTGCAATTGACACTAGTACAATAATAATTTTTTTTACAATTTTAGAATAAAAAAATCTTGTACATACATACAAATGTATGTATGAGTGTGCGTGGGTGGCTGTGGGTATATTTGTGTGTGTGCGTGTGTGTATTTGCGTGCGCGTGTGTGATACTTGCATATAAATACGCGCGCATATATGCAATAAATTGATTATAATGAATCAGAATTTCAATAAAATAACTTTTGTGAAGCAACTACTCATTTATTTTAAATTAAAAATTTTAATCAGTCCTTAATACAATTAGTACACGAACCTTTTTAAAATATAATAAATATGACATTTAAAGAAATAGAACTTCTAATTTTGCATTATTATATATAAAATTTATTCAAAACATGTTATACAATTTATCCTTATAAATAAAACTTGATTGTTCATTTCTATCAAATTTTCCATTTATTAAATTTATGCTCTATTAATATTATATTAAATGGATTAAAAAATTATTTATACTAATATTATAGTAGAAATATTATGCGATTAGTAAAATAAAATTATAATCTTTGTATGCATTAGAATGAAATGAAAGTGGTACTATACCTTTTTAATAATTAAACCTTTAACAATTTTTATTCTGAATGAAAGCAAAGATAAGCAAATATAATTTATTAGGAAGTTGTTTTACTATAATATATATGTATATGTTTAATTCAAATATATGCTCTTGTAATTATATTACTAAAAAAAATTTGAGATGCTAAATATTACAATGCAATTTTATTTTAAATATAATATAGAATAAATGCATATGTACAAATAAAATAAATTTTATATTGATTGTTTATAAATTTAAATAGTATTTGCTATAACAAATATATATTAAATAGATTCAAAAATTGTGAATAGTTTTAATTTATTTACTTTTTAACTTGTAATAACTATTGTAAGATTTTTAAATAAAATGACTGTATTTTCATAGCTAAAAAATTTTTTTTAAGATATCAACACTAAATGCTTCAACGGAAATAATCATATTGAGTAGGTATGAATGTGGGATGTTCGAAATAGTAAAGAATAGTAAATATCTCAAATGACTCAATTTATTTCCTTTGTTAGTACTAGATTGTCCTAGATATCTAAAAATTAACCATTCAATTTTTATTGTAGCATTTTTCTGTTGTTTATTATTTATTTAACTACTACTTGGTAATAGAATATTGCAGCAGTACTTATTTATATGTTCATAAAATCTTTTAATTTATTAATAATGCAATTTGCCTGTATTTGAAATAAGATGTTCAAATTCAATACTACTTTAGATAAGAAAGTATTATTTACTTATGCTGTCCGTGGATCTTATTTAGTATTATCTAAATAATGTCATTAAAAAGATTTATAAAAGATAAAAGAAATTTTCATATGTAATACGTCAGAAAATGTAGAAAAGGAGCGTCAAAATATAAGTTATTAATATCTATATAATTATGCGTTTCAGCAATAAATTTTTGCTTTTTAAAAAGTAGTAAATTTATAAATAATGTTTCGTAATATAATTTATGTATTAATAAATTATTTTTTTACAAAGAAAACTCGAAGCGGTGTCTGTAATTCAGTATATAAAATAAGAAACATTCAAAGTGGATTTTCATTTACAAAACTATTTTTGATGTGGAAGCTAAATAACTTCATTTTTTTAAATCAACGTTTTTCAGTAAGCATTACCAATTGCGACTTGCAAAAAATTTAAATATAAAATTTACCTTCAATTTAAATTCAATATAATAAACAAATATTGTATTATAATATTATTTAACCATTATGTAATTATTATTTATGTAAATTATTTTGTAAACCTGGTTATTGATTAATTTTTAGTTTAATAAAATAATATTATTTTATGATTTTATTTGTACTTAGTAAATATTTATTTACATGTTATTTTTCTTTATATTTAATTTAATTTTTACATTTGATGGATTCCACCTCCTTCACAAATAATTTATATTACAGCGTAGATATAAATAGATAATGTTACATGAACGAATATGAATGGAAAATTTAATGAATATATGAATAGACATTTACACGAAACAAAGTAGAGTTTGCGTGTACCTTTGTATTATTTTAAGTTGCGTTTTCATTATTAATTACGTATTTCAGTTTATTATTTCTATTATATAAATCTCTTATCCTTAAATGATTTATTATTTTATCATCCACTATAAAGTATTTGTAACTATTTTCTAAGCACAAAACAAGAAAGATTTGACTGTTATATTTTAGAACTTATTATTTATAATTTTTACATTATGAATTAATTTGTATTTTATTATTCTTTTATGAAAAACCAGATAACGAATTATATATAGAAATCCCGTCTTCGTATGCAGTACTTTCAAAAGATTAAAATAATATTCTATTGGCTCATTTATAAAGATTTAGAAGCAAAGTCCAGTTTAATATGAAGAATCTAATAGTTGGAACAGTATTAAATTAAACTATAATTGGATTATATTTAAAAAATATATATGTATTTTATGAAATTTTATTAAAAAACATACTTATGCGGCTTCATGAAAAAAATTATATATATTATATAAATATTCAAATGCATAAATAAAGAATATTGCTTAAAAATTTGAATTTCTCCATTAGTGAAACTATTAACTAATAAATTAAATTGAATAGACGGATGGCAGCTCTCATATCTCTATTATTTGTCACATTTTTCCCATATTGTAAATAAATTATGATTTAACTCTCCTGAGTGTCGTAGGATTTTTAACAGAATTAAATTTTGATTCTCTATTACATGCGTATAATTATTCTTATAAAATAAATATTTGTTTACATCATATATTTTTACATAGTTACAGCGTTTATAATTCAAAGTGATTACAAAATTTTTATAATTTTAAATATTTATATTAGGATATATAGTGAGAAGTGGTCAACTACAAACGTATTAAAAGAAATTAAAAAAATTATAATACTGTACACCGTAAAAAATTCAAAACAGTTTTATTGTTTTGTTTTGAATATTCTAAATATTTGAATATTTTAATATTTATTCAGCTATGTAATAAGTCAAATATTGGAAAAAATTTTGTAAAACAGTGAGCAAAGTAATATTATATTATACTATTTTATAAAAAAAAGCACAATACATAGTTATTTATTTTTATTTAAATAAATTTTTTATCAAATTTTTATTTGACAAGAATAAACTTTCAAATGCTAAAATATCTACTTACTTTCTTGAGTGCCTTCAGCACTTTACTTTATCGTAATCATCAAAACAATTCTTCTTTATAAGACAATTGTTTTTTTATTTCATATTTACTACTTTCATTTTTATTAATTACTCATATATTTTTAATACAGACTAACAGTGAATTATCAAGTTAATACACGTATCCAGAAAAATATTACTTGTCACATTGTACTCTTAAAATTGGCTTAGTTTACTTTACGTTATAAGGAAAATACTGTTATTCCATCTTGGTAATATTATTTGACTTATCAAGATTCTTATTTTTACATTTTTAATAGAATTAAAATCTAATAATTTATACGATTTATATAAACTAAGTTACAATAAAAGAAACTTATAAGTTATATTAGAATACGTTTATGACCGATTTCGTTATATCAAATTACGTCAATTAATTTATATTAGATAAATAACTAACTTATTTATGAGCAGTCTTTGTTGATAAATATATACAGTTCACTTAATTTATATATTTATATCAATCAATATTTGAAAAATATCTTAACATACCCATTAATTTACTTTATTTTCCTACGTATTATTTTATAATCAACAGAATATTATTGCAATTGATAATTTTTTAACAACTAATTAAAATCTTTTAGTGTTATAAGGATAATGGATGATGAGGTAAATTACAATAGTATCGTAAGAATTAATATCCAACTTTTTATCATTCTTTATAGTTTCTTACTTTTACTTTTCGATACATGTTATCTTAAGTTTGTCATAAGTAATATGTATATTTGACCTGTGTAAATATCTAATTAAATTCTTTATGTATCAAATACTTCATTTTATTAACTATACCGTAAAAATATAACAGATGTATTAAAAAGTAAAAAAATTCAATTATAATTATTTATTTTACAATTTTTATTTATTTTTGAAAAAATGTTTACGATTAAAGAACCTTTATATGTAATCTACATTGATTATTGTATCTTCACTGATAATTTTGTCACATTTGTTTTAAAAATTTTATTATAGAAAATTGTTTCATCAACGATATCGTTAGCATACGTAATTTGGTAGCTTTTTAAAAAGAGAAAAAAATTTAAATAAAATAGATTGTCTAATAAAAAAAAACTTAATAAATATTAATACATAAACATAAACACAAAATAAATTTAATGGCAAAGGTTAGAAGATATTTTGAAAAATATAAACAAAATTATAATTTGAAATTAAGTCAATAATTTCATTTATAAGATTTGTATTTTTAATAGAAATAGTGACACAAGCAATGTATTTAACACGATCGGTCAATTAAGAATATTGTTATTAATTTTCGATAAATTCCTTTTCAATATATTCAATTAGAGCCCAAAACTTAACTTAAAACTTTGTCTATATATATATGAATAAAATTATATACAAATGAATCAATGAGCCTCTTTTTAAATTAAATTTAACAAAATTTCCATCGATTTCCACACTCGTTGCATAAGACAAAAGTTGTCATAGGTTCATCAGCAGATCGTGTTTGTACCTGATTATAAGTACAATTTCTCTTTTTACACTTTCCACATTTTAATAAGTCTGTTTTAGTTCCTTGAACAGTAGCAAGTTGAGCATCATTAATTGCTTCCTTTTTAAACTGTTCTCTTAATTGCTTTATTTCGTCACTTGCCATTTCTTCAGCAGTCATAATTGCTAACCTTGCTGGAGTTATAGCTCCAATAATAAAATTAGTTCTTAAAGTTGGATTTTTAGAATCTCGCAAATTTGCTACTCTACTGCGTACCTAAAAAAATTTCATTAAATATTAGCACTGTTACAATATTAATATGTAATCTTACAGTAATATATTTATTATTCTGAAATGATAAATATATTAAACATAATAAACGGATATTAAAAAATAAGTGTCTTGATTTAAAATGTTTTATTATTTTTGTATACAAAAGCCTTATTGGGAATAGGTAGACTTGCTATAGTTTTTTTTTAAATATGATATATATATATATATTTTTTATAACAAATATACTTTACAGGTGGTTTTTAACGAGATGTAATATTTATTGGTATTTTTATAATAGCAGAATACACAAATATATAAAATATGTTATGACTTCATGATTACTTTAATCTATCAATTACTAAAAGTCGAACTATTTTCTAAATACAATTCGATGTGATTGTACAAATCATCAAACCATAATACGTAAATTAACTTAATAATATTCTGTTGGTGCTGCCATAAAAAAATGACAAGAAAATTTTATATATTGTTTTATTCAATAATTATATTAAATTGGTCTTATAAAAATACCTAGTAAATAATAATTTTTAAGTTGTGTCAATATCAATAATTGCCTAAGTTTTATCTTTAGAAATATTAGGTATTAATTTTGATGAAACTTGAAATATTCGTAACAATAAAAATATTGTTTTTCATGAGATTATTATATTATTTTTTTGTTATTTGATTCTGATCAAGTTACTTGATAGTTGGAAATTTTAAAACTATTTTTCGGTGTTAATCTCATAAATCATATCATTACAAGCCAATTTTCGTATTAATACTTATGTGTAAAAACTTTGATATAAGGACTGGTACTGTTCAAGCACCATTCTATTTACTATAAAACTATCTTGAATACTCAGCTTATCGATCAATTTGTTATTTATTACTTTTTAGTTGAGTTCTATTTAAGCATATATTATTTTAATTTCTCAATTATGTCTATACAGCTTTATATATTAATATAATAAAATCGAAAATCTTAAATAATAACTTTTCATTTACACTGGCGTCATGAGTAATATACAATTTTATTAATTGTCAATTAATTTCCATAATTAAAATGATAGTTTCCGACGTTAAAGCATTTATATTATAACAGTAATTCTTTCTTAAATATTTTCAGCCGAATCTTCATAATTTATTTTGTAAAATACTATAAATTTCATTCGATTTAAATCTTAATGTTTTCTACATATCATCCATTAGTTTTATGCTGTAAAGCAACCAAATCCTCGCAACCTCTATGAATAATCAATAACATAGAAAAATAATAATTTGATTCTATTTGAAAATTAATACGAAAAATCATATATAATCATTTTTTCTTAAAAAATAAAATTAATTTTGAATATTGTATTGAAATCTATAATGTATATTATTATACATAATTTATAATTCTAAATATATAAATTCTAAAATATATATAATTATATATTTTATAATTCGAATTAAGTTAGCTGTCGTCTGCAATTATAATTAATATCTTATTTTGGTGTACTTACCATCATTCATCATATCATATTTTATTTATCACTATCATTAACATTTGTTCCTCAAATAAAAAAAATTAATGTAAAAGTACTACTTGGTTTTAAGATTTTACCACATTAGGATAGCATTTTTTACAAAATTAATAAAATACAAAAATAGGTTGTAATTTGTAAAAAAAATATTACATCAGTTGATTACAAATTCTAATAAAAAGCTCTCTATTAAAGTATAATAACATATATTTGTAAAGAAACCCTGACATTATATTGTGGCTACCTTACAAGAGATTACATTATTTGAATGGAGGTCAAAATATTAACTACATACTAAATTAAATACATGGCTGTGTCAAAACCAAAATTCACCACCCATGAAATAGATTTTATTGGTAACTACTATAATAATGTACAATCATATCAATGTAGCTCTCCGATCAAATAAATGTTGCTTATCTTAAAAACCAATGGTAATTCAATATTTCTTGAATATTTTATATATTAAACAATATATTACAATAAATGTTCTATACATTAGATATTACATTATTTCAAATTACCTCACTTTATTGAGTACATGAGCAAATTAACATTCACAACTATACAAGAAAATGTGATAATTATCTTCATAAAAATGGTTGAGAATCAAAATTTATTTAAGATAATGTTCCTGAGATAATAAATACATTAAATGATAATTCAAATTTGGCTTTAAATATTAATGACTAAAATATTAAAAATATTATTAATTAATGAATGCAATAATTTTTGTTTTATTTTTATTAGAAGTCCAAAACCAGAAATTGTACATTTATAACACACGATAGAAATAAATTTAATTTTTATTTATTTTTATATTTTTTCATTAAATGCTAATATACAGTTTGCATAAGTTAATTAAATCTTCATATTTGTTTTATTCTATTAAATACAGTTTAGAATTATTTATACTGTATACAAATAAGTTTTATTGCATGTATATTTATATTTGGAACAAAATTGGATATAGATATTATTAACAATAATTTCTAATTTTTCAATATAATATCTTAAGATTAACTTTTTATAATATAAGAATTCTTCAATCACTTTATAAAATCGATGTCACATTGATATTGAGAGGTTGCAATTTACAATCCAATAAATGTCGATTAGTTATTAATAAATATATTTTTCTTTCAATAACATAAAAATCATTTGTACAACTTATAGGAAAGCCAGTTGAAAAATAAATTGAGTTAAAGAGTAAATATTAATCTAGATAATCTTTTAGAAAATTACATAGAAACATTAAATTATTTAATATATTAAATTGATTTCTTAGAAAAAAAATGATGAATATAAATTAGTTATTTAAAATAATTACCAAAAATTTAGAATGCTCTGTATTAATGACATGAACTTTTTAATAGAAAATAAATTACTCACTCTGTTTCTATACTTATTATCAGTATTCTTAAATTCTGCATAAATAGCTTCTTCAAGTTCTTCAGCTAACTCTTCAGGACTAGCACAACCATCTATTGTTGTACCATCAACTCTTAAAGCTGCTGAAAGTAATTCTCTACATTTTAGCCGTACTGCATCAGTAGTAGTAGGAGCTGGGAAAGAAGACTGTTTCTTATATAAGTCTTTACTGGATTTGTCTTCTTTACATTTAATATCTTTATTATCAACAATTTCTCTTTCTCTTTTTAAATCAATATCTTCTTTATTTTTATCGAATTTATCATCTTTCTTCCTTGAGCTACAAGATGAACTTGCATCTTTTGTATCTTTATTAGGACCTGATGCAAGTAAATTAATTTTAATAGAAATTATTTTAACAATATAACTTTACATACCTGAAAGAAACTTTTTCCAATTTTTTATTAACATTTTAGAAAGTGCTATTACTTCTTCATCTCGACTAGATTTTCGTAAGGCATTAACAGTCATTCCAATACGTGTTTTCTGAAGTAATTCTAAATTTACTGGTAACTGCTGTAATGTTTTTAATAATTCTAAGGCTTGCTCCTGTCCCTGTAAAAAATATTTATTTAAAAGTAAGTATCAAGATTATGAATATATTATTAATAAGCTAATACCGTTCCATCACCAGTTGACATTTTATTTAATTTTTTTTGAATTCGTAAAACTTCTTCTTCGGCATTCATTTTAAAAATTATTAAATTAAATTTTTCTTTATAATTAGTTCAAAAAACAATCGTAATATTTTTGAAGTACTACACACAAAAAATCTAAATATGTTACAATGTCAAAAAAAATAATGGTGTATAGTTATAAAACGACTAGTTTTATAAATAATTTGCTCATTATTTATTGAATTACAATAACGACATTTTTGTTTGCGCATTTTATATTTAATAAAAAAATTGAAATAAAATTTTCGGATTAAATTTTAGCAGCTTAAATTCATATAATTTTTTAATAAATTAAAATATTGCAAACATAGTCAAAACATTATATATACATATTAAATAAAAATAGAATTGATATTAAACTTTATAATATTAAAAACATTATGGTTTATAAAACGCATGCGCACTATAAAATAAAAACTACGATTCTACTTTTTTTTAATTGATGAAAGTTAATTTATATTTTAATGTCAATAATTACATTAATTTTTCTTATATTTTCTTCATTTTAGACTTTTTAATAATTTTTTAAAGCATGTAAATATTTATATTACTTTAAAACTTTCAAACGTACATATTATTCTATTTTATTGAAATAGTTGCAAAATATTCTTAATATTTAAATGTTTACTTATTATTGTAAAATAATAATGTTCTTTTCAATCTACTTGTCGTAAAATCTTATATATATTTAATATGCATATATAAAGTACATCATGAAAACTTACTGGATTTCCTATAGTAATAACTAAAGTAAAGAATCTATTATATGTAGAATTTAATCTTTATGTCAATATTTTTTTGTGTGCTATATTTCTAAAAATGTTAATGTATATATTAAAAATTATAATATACAAAAACCTATGTTCCATCTTTTTTATTTATTATTTTTATAGTAATTTTTTTAGAAAATAAAAATAGCACTTCAATAGTGTATTATATTTTCTCAAAAATATACAAAAATTAGTAAGACATTTATACATAATTTACATAAAAAAATTATGAAAATTTTCATACTTTTCAAGATATTACAATATTATTATTAGATAATAAAAATCGATTATTATTTTTTTATTTTAATTGATAAATACAAATCAACGTTGATATATACAATATTGTGTCAGGAAATATATGGATTTTTGTTTGTATTTATAAAAAAAATGGAATTTCTATACTTATCAATTAAGATATCTTTATTATTTTTGGTTCCATTATATTTGAATGTTATTTATATTCTTCGTGTAATTCGAGATTTTTCAATAAATATTAGATATTTACTATTGTAGCTATGGTACTTATAACCAAACAATATATTTATGCTGATATACATCTGTTTGCCAATATAGTATTTAAGGTGTTAAACTTAAATTGAATAGCGAATTATTTTACATTATAAAGTATTTTTTATTTTATTTGAATACGTGTTAATAGTCTTTGATTCATTTGTATACCATATCATTTATAAAATTGTAAGTACAAAAATGAATCATATACAAAGCTTTTCGATTGATAAGTGAAAAAGTCGTGATTTTATTTATTTATTTACCTTTTATATGAAAATTCGCAAATGTTAACTTCACCTACAATACCGAAATATAATTTTGTTTTAGTATAATAATTGGGTTTGGCTAAGTTACAATATGAATATATGTATTAATATTGTTTATATACATATGCATACGGAATTAGTTTCGCGCGTGTCATAGAGCTTTAGTATTTCAAATTCCAATTTCAAATGCATTTTCGGAGAAAACAATTATACATTTTCGGAGAAAAATTCTTGAATAGCAAAGTAATATTTGTTTGTAAAAACTGATCGCCTATAAAGCTTCTACTTTAAAAATATTTCATGGAAATTTTCTGAATTTTATATGTATAGGTATTTGAGAAAATACGAAGCAGATATAGCAATCGCAAAAATTTTCCGTATATGTAACATTGTTAAATAGATCTTTTATATGAACTTATTCTTAGAAATATGTGATAATTAATAAATAGTTTATTTATATTAGTGCCAGCAGGTATGAAACGAAAAATAATCAGAGGATAAGTTATTTATATATTTAGTTATGTCGTATTAAAATAAATATTAATTAATAATACAGTTAATACTTTATAAACATTGGTTTGGATCAAGGTTTGGATCTTATAATATTATGCATATTGTTGAAAGCGACAAAGGTTTATTTTCAATTATATCATGACAAATTTTAATTAATATTAATGTTTCCAATATATTCTTATATATTTTACGTTTGAATCGAGACTAACAAAATTGAGTTGCTTGTTTGATTGAAAATGCTAGCATAGTTTGAAAAAGTATTGGCTTATATTTTATTTTGTATTTGTAAAGATATGCGTGACTAGATAATAAATTACTTTAAACTATAATAAATAGTAAAATTTCGAAGAAGAAAAGTGAAATAGATATATAAATAACATTCTGTTAATTATCACTTATATATATTAATTTAAAATTTTAATTATAAATGACAAGTAGAATAAGAAGACAGTGAATTGACCTCACATAAGTCCAAATTTCATGGCATGCTTAGACACACGGTTGGTAAAATGAGATTACAAAGTTGACACTTCCATACATTTACAGTAAATTTCATTATTATTTTTTTAACGAATAAAACATTTTTTGTAATTATAGTTTTTGAATAAATATACATTAAAAAAAAAATACTCAGTTAATACTGAATTTACAGTAATATAATAGAGAATTAAAATTGTAATTCGTAATGGTAATAATTTAAATTGGTGAAACTAAAATATTAGAAAATTTGTTGGAGAAAAAATGAAATTGAAAATTTGAAGGTTTTAGCTATATAATCAAGAATCCCAAAAAAACAATATTAGTTATTTAAATATTAAAAACATTTTTTATTTTAAATTTGTTTTTATTTAATAATAAAATTTTTTTAAATATTTTATTTATATTGCGTATGTTTATTCCTTTAATATTTATTTAAAATGTAAAGATGAACAATATTTTATTAGTTAATTATTTCTCAATAAATTTTATAGTTAAGTTTTAATATATAGAATTTTGTTTCTTTTTTGTTCAAATTTTATGAAAGTTTTTTATATTTTCTATAAATGCATAAAATGTAGAAAAATAAAAGTTGAATAATAGACGAGAGGAAGAAAATAAATTGGTTCTAAGTAGATTCTGAAATTTTTACATAAAAAGCATTTCTTTAAACGATGTGTAAGTAAGCTTTAAAATATTTATTATATTTTTTTAAATGAATATTTATACTCGGTATTACAAATACTTCCGTATTATATTATATATAATACATACTATATAATCCATATAAATATTCATAAAATAATTAAAAATTTATTGAGACTTTTGATTATTCAACCTAATAGATTTTTAATATTTTTCTTAAAATAATAAACGTATATTGAAAAGGCTATGTTTCATTATTGCTTTAATAGTTAATAATGATATTTTACTTATAGTGGTTTATTTTATTCATTCTATATGAGAACATTGTATATTTATTATTTTTAATACTATTTTTAGATAATGATTATCGATTTGTATAATTATTGCATTAATATTATGATCGGATTATATCATTTAATAGAAAAACTTTCAAAACATTATATTGAAAAGCTTTTTTGCATTAATTTGTAAATTATTTTCTTTTCATATCTTAAATATAATTTTTTAAAAATATTTTTTTCATAGATTTCATAGTTAATTAGTTTTATTATGTACAGGTTAATATTCCACAGTTAGATACGATATGCGCATGCGTGATATTTTGTTGTTCCCATTTAAAATCCTATATAAGTATCCAAATAATGCCAACATTAAGCATTAACCTAAACAACGTTTGGATGAAGGAATTTATGGATCCTTACAAAACCGTCACATTTTATAATGACAAGAGAATATAAATATACGTTTTTATTTACATTCCAAAAAATTATAGTTGTGTGAAATCACACATTTTACAAATTTGTTTTTAGTTTATAATTTTTGAATATTTAAATACTATTATAAAAAAGAAATTTGTATGTTGTCAAAATATAATTATTGTATGTTAATATTTTGTTTTAAATAAGTGTATTCAAAATATTTGGAGAAAAAAAAATTGCAATGAATCATAAATTGAAAGTAAGCATTACATTGATAATATTTATTGGATTTATAGTGTAAAATAGTCAAATAGTATTTTGTAATTTTTTAATAGATTTGTAGTTTATTTATAATTTACACAAATCAAAATCTATTCTTACTATTATAAAATATTTTTATTAAAGCAAAATAGTTTTTATATTTTTTAATTTAAAATCAATTTAATTTTGTATTCATTGAAAATTTATATTTTTAATGATTGATTTTTTATTGAAAACTAACATTTAATAATATTTTAAATTATTATACTGTAACATAAAATATTATAATTAATTAAACTGCAATTTGTTTTAACTTTATTGGTACTTTTATAAAAGAATATTTTTATAAAAATATCTCATTTTAATATAAAATTGTAGTTTGTGAATTTAAGTAAGAAAAATCAATGTTGTTGACCAATTATATATTATATATGCAAACAATACTTGTTTAAAGCATTGTTTAATCATATATTTTATCAATTTTTAATTTTAATTTAATTTTTATTTTGAATTATGTCATCTAGCTAATAATGAAATAAAATTTATATTTTAAATTATTGTTAAGAAGAAAATCAAAATTTTATGAAATATTAAACTCTATTGAATAAAATGTTGAATTTAATTTTATAATAATAACTTACTTTTAATTATTACATTAGTACAATTAGTCTGAAAATGTGATTATAAAACTTACGGACGTAAGATGTTGAATAAGTTTGTAATTTGTTGAAGATTAATATTAATTGTACAAACTTGTATTTCATTTTCAATGATTTGTTTGTGTATGTTGTAGGCAAAATCTTCATTTACTAATTTAAAAAATAGCAAAGAAGCATATGTTAATGATGATGAAGATAATGATAATGATGATG